TTAAAAGATAGCTCTCCTTTAGATATTTTTCTTATGACTAGGTTAGTTAATATCTTTGTCACTCTAGTAAAATCGTAAAAGAGAAATTCAAGCATATTATATAACCATTTGAATAACTACTAAAGGTAATATTCGATTATTATTACAAAAGATCAATACAGACATATATATATATATATGCATTGACTCTGTGATATATATATATCCAAGTAATGGACTGTGAAAAAACCCCGTCGTAATATGATAATAGTCATAGAAATAATTATATGACAAGTCTTTTTGTATGGGAATATTGTTTGTTATGTCACTTTCATAACTCAAAATTATGTTTCTGCCACTTTGAACAAAACCTTATAAAAAATGCCAGTTTGTCCATTGTGGCAGTGACACAAATGACGAAATTGCCCTCACAGAGAAAAATAAATGATGGACTAGATCTGATTGAATAGATCTGTTACACCATAACTGGTTCGAATATAGTCTACCAAAATTAGTTGACCGAATATTGTCCATCTATAGACAACTTTAATATCTATTGTGTACATCTAACTAAATCATGGATAAAATCTTCCATACACGCATCACTTATTTCATTGTCTGGTGAATCATTTGTGGTTTCAAAAGATTTGCATGATGGACAAAATTAATTAATCAAAATTGAAATGTTTGGTCCATCGAAAATGGTCCGTCAGATCTGGTCCACCAATTCTGGTCCATCGGATTTTGTCTATCAGAGATGCAACATATAATTCCGCCGATCGGAACCGATCGACTTCTTTACCGGAATAGGCGCGGATGGAAAAAATCTCTGATCCAATATTTCTTAAAATTGTGAAGAATTTTATTTGTTGTTAGATAAATAAAGAGAAAATGAGAGAAGAAGAGAGAGAGAGATGAGAAAAGGACAAAAATGTCTTTTTAATTATGTCTTGTGGCATTTGGGAGAAGGCTGAAAAAAAAGTGACATTCCATACTGTTCATGGCATACAATATAATTTTCTTTATATATATATTTCGAAACCGAACATTAATCAGTAAGGTTAGAATAAGAGACGTTTAAACCTTTTCTTTACTACTATCATTTTGTAACATCGTTAACTGATTAATCATGATTTTATGATTCATGATTCATGCAAAAAACATCGCATTCTTATCATGGTGATTAAGGATATTATTTATTGACGACTGGATTGGTCCTACTACTCACCTATACTCTTTTAAGAAAATTAATTTATGTATATATTCATATAACTACACCCAACTTAGACATAAATATATGTACGAAGGACTCTCGTCATCAGTGACTACACATAATGGTCCTGCAGAAACTACGTTTCAATGTTTCATCTTCATTCTTAAATACCCAATTGCAGTATTGCACCACAACACTTAGGGAGAAAATCTAATACAGTTTCAGTTTTAAAAGAGATAAAAAGATCTATGACAACCCTCTATGACCTACATATTGATCGATCCGACTTATTATATACTTTCCAGTGTTGCAAAAGGAACCTTTCAATAATGCAATTTATTTTCTTGCATGCAGTTAGAATTACCATCAATCAAATCATTTTTTCGGCGGATAATAATTAATACATTTTTCTTTATATATTTAAAACCGATGATCATCAGTTATGACATACCGATGTATACATGAAGCTGTGCCAAATTCAGAACACTTGTTTACCTACGGTCGTTCAATTCTTCAATGAAACCACCTACTCTGTCCAGCCAATTTTTATTGACACGAACGAAATATACCATTGTCATAATAAATTACAATCAATGAATCTAATAAATACGATCATCATGAATATCGATATTGGACACCATCCACACACAAATCTTCGACGGTCCACCATCTACCACCAATTGACCAGTCCATGTTAGATTTGATCTTCGATACGACGATACCTATCGTCTTTTTAATGAGATGTTGTCTCAGTCTTTTGTTTTTTTTTGTTTTACCTTACATAGTTGAGCAATTTACCAAGAATATGCTAATCGGTAGAAGTTTCACACTTTAACATAACACAAAAATTACATAGAGATACTGAAACCTCTTTATTATGTCATCATATCGTGAATAGTTTTTTTTTTTTTGAATTCTTAAAGTAAATTGTATAATCTTGATAGTAGGACACTGCAAGTAAATTTGCTTGTGCCTATCCTATTAAAGATAAACTTATTTAAATTAAATTAATTATATTATAATATATACATAAAAGTTATAACTCTTTAGCTAAAGAGACCGTTCATACCTTGTCAGTCGTTAGGTGAGCTATTTATTTTCATGAAAAGATTATAGAAAGAAATGTATATTTTTATAAAGTTTGTTCAGAAAAAAAAAAGAACGAAAGTTAATATTTATTTTCACCAATAACTTTTGTTTTATTCAAGAATATGTTATGCTACCCACAGTATACGGCTAATGAATATGAAACTTGAAGTTGCGTAGCAGCGTATGTTATGTGTGGACTTCATATATGATTAAGAAAACAAAAATTGGACTTAACAAATTCCTTATATAATTGTTGTAGACGTTTTGTGTACATAAAACATGAAAATGTTACACTGGAATAGCAAATTTGAAAGTGGGCTAAACATGTCAAAAAAAGAGAAAAGAAATCATACTAAAATAAACAACTGGTCAAAATTAAACAAATTAATAAATACCCACATGTTGCTGCATGCTAAATTTAATACTTGACAACCAAGGAATATAATAACTATAACTATGGGACAAAAGTTGGATGGATGAGTCATAACTCATAAGTATACAAAAATATAGTATTTGAAAAAAAAATAAAAAAAATAAATAAAAGCTCAAAGATAACGAATATAGGAAAATATACATCGAAAAATAAATAATGCAGGGTTTTGTAGAAATGTTAAAATGAAGACGAAACAGATGGAAGTATCCAATCAAAACGTATATAATCCATGATCCATTCAATCAAGACGTGGACGGGCAAGTTAGGAAGGAATTGTCACAATGTATTCATAAACGTGTAGATAATATTAGGTCCCCCTCGTGTCATTTTTGAGGCTTAATTAGAATCATCTCGAGTTTTCCAAGGTTTCATTAAACAAATGCGTAGTCATGTTTCTTATTAGAAAAAATCTTCTCAGATATTGAAATATAGCAAACACGAAGCTGGTCAGGAGATTAAGCTAGCTAGGGACCTTGTAAGTAGTAACTATCATACTGAAATAATAAACACTTTAACCTGGTCAGGGGCTTCGCGACCAATAGGGATCGGTCATCGGTCGAGCATAAACCGCTTTCGTGATTAGCAGAACAGAGTTATAAATGTAAGAAAAAATATAGGTAAAAAAAATAAAATATATATATATATATATATATAAGTTAGCTATAAGTTAGCTAATTTATGCATGCAATAGAGAATGAATCAAAGAATCCATCCGTAGACATGAAATATACAATCTACTAAGTAATACTTACAATTCTTTGCAAATTAGTGAACTATCATTTGTTTTATTTAAAGTTACTGAGTAATGCGTTTAACTTATCATATCGAACGAGGACTATGCGGACTTGTCCGCTATAAAGGGAGGATTTTAGTCGTATCATCCATCGAGTCACAATTTGGAAAAATAGATCAGTCCGCTTGTATTTTTAGTTTATAAATAAAAATGAATAAGGTAAGTAATTAACTAGAAAAAGATTTACTAAAAAAAACTTATAAGCGGACTGATGTATTATATTAGTGTCACGACTCACGATGAGTAACCATCTTATATAGTTTTAGTTTATAAAACTAATAAGGTAAGTAATTACCGGAAAACATTTACTAAAAATTTGGTTTAAAAGAAAATTTCCTATTAGGTGGATAAAGCTAAGACTAATTAGAGCCACTGTTCTATTTTTTATTTATTTATTCATTCTACTCAAAAGTTAAAGCTCGATCTATACATGAGTAAAAGAGAGAGATTCTCATGTTAATGATCATTTACTTGAAATTTAAGTCCAAACTTTTATAGATGTGAGGATGCATGGGTTTAGATGAATCTTTCCGAGCACGTGGACAACAACACATCCCCACACTTCACCCTCGATTGGTTCTCTCTCTTTACTAAGTCTCTATCTTGGTTTGGTTATACTTATACCTCTCACCTTCTTCTCCCCTTTGTCGAAACAAAACTAGCGATGTTTTAAAAAAAAAATAAAAAAATCGAGATTAGGTTTTCTACAAAAGATCGTCTGTTCTTTTTTTTGGTTGTAAATATGTCATTTTCTCATGATATATATCCAGATTACACAACGTATAATAATCAAAACTGATTACTCATATAGAATTCATCTCAACGTATATTATTTTAACATTACACCCAAAAAAAAAAACTGCTAAAAAAACAGAATTTTCATTTTATATTGTTTTCAGATATAAAACCGTTTAAGAACAATTTTATATTTTATATTTTATATAATTGTTTCCCCTTACACACTCGATTAGATTCTCACTTAAACTTTGGACTCATGAACAAGAACTACTAATAAGAGTAACACCAGAATTTCTTTTTCTATCAAACTGTTGTAAAAATTTAGAGTTTTATGAACAAAACAAAAGATGACACATCTAACGTTTTTTATATAAATCATAAATAAAAGAAACATCTTAACTACAACAAATGGGTCTATCCAAATCCAAAAAGGACTAACTAGAGGTAATATTTACAGCACTTGATATAAGAAAAAGACAATTGCACATTGTTAATTTCCTTTAAACAAACAAAACGACACATTTCCTTTCTAAAACGTTTCCACATAAGAGTAATATATACACTTTTATGTTACGTTGTTTGTATACACACTCAACTCAACCACTATCATCTCTCTCAGTATATGTACATATAACTCTTTTTAACTTACCAAAAAAGTTGTTCTATTCAACCCTTTTCTCTTTTTTCGCTGTCTTTCGCTATATATAGACAAGCGTTTTTATACGTCTACCACATTTCCAAGAGAGAGAGAAAGAAAATATCACTCTTCTTCTTTCTTTTTTCCTTTTAATCTTTTGAATTTTCTGAGAAACATCTTTTTGTTCTTGGTTTCTCCGACTCTTCCCACTTTGATCACTAAGTTTAAGAGGTAAGTACTCCATACTTCTACAAACAAAAGAAAACTCTTTAAGTACATATACATGCTAACATGCATATGTATATATATTCTGATCGATATAGGCTGTATTATTTGTTGAAGATTCGTTCCAAGAAAAAGTTTTATATATATTTTAGGAATTTTGGATGCACTTAGCATCTCTATATAATCGTTGACGCGTGTGTGGAGATAGTCGCGTTTAGTCCTCATTTTTTTTCTTTTCATATAAACATGGATGAAACTTAGCTAGAGACCTAGAGTGACACTTGACCAATTAGTTATTGTAGATTTTTTTTTTTTTTTTTTTGTTGCTTAGAGAAAATCAAAGAATGAGTAGTGGGGGTGGTGGTGGTGGGGAAATGGAAGAGAGGCTGCTACTAAAAGACTCAGAGACAGGACAGAGGAGGGAGATTCTCTACCTGAGGAAGAAGATCTCGACTGAAGTAAGGAAGATGTGGAGAATAGCTTTACCATCAACTTTGTTCAGAGTGATGTCTTTTGGATGCATAGTGGTGGCTCAAGCCTTCATTGGCCACTCCAGTGAAACGGGTATCGCTGCTTATGCTCTCCTTCAAACCACTTTCATGCGCTTCATCTACGGTATTATGGTACTTATTCTCCCTAACTATACGATCCATTGTATATATATGAATATTATGATATATTGAAATACTTTTGATTTTCGTCGCTATATTTTTATCATACTTTACAAAAGGCAAATAAATTTATTTTATTTTATGTTTGTATTTGCTGATTAACCAATCATAGTAATTATTAGATTAAAAAGTATAATTTATTATATATACTCGCAAAGAAATTAAAAAAGTTGTGGTTTCACACTGGTTTGATCGACTTAGTATGATTTATGCATAAGCCCATACGACGGAAAGTAATGAATGTTACATATATGATAGAGGTAAGATTAAACTATAATTGATCAAGATCATCAGTACATCACACGTACATGTACACGTACGTATAACCTAATGGTTTGTGCTAATTTCGTAGTTGTGTCGCTTAAACCATGACAAATAAAAAGGTTATGTAACTGGATCTCATGGTGATATTACAGGCAGGTATGTCAAGTGCTACGGAGACGTTGTGTGGACAAGCATACGGAGCAGAACAATACCACATGATGGGTATATACCTACAACGTTCTTGGATAGTAGACTCCTTTGTAGCCACTCTCTTCGTCCCTTTCATAGTCTTCGCCGGTCCCATTCTCCGGTCACTAGGCCAAAACGTTGAGATCACCGAGACGATAGATGAGATCTACGCTTGGGTCATCCCTTATCTCTACAGCATCGTCTTCACAATGACAATGCAAATGTATCTCCAAGCGCAGATGAAAAACGCCATCATAGGTGTTCTCTCGGTCATAGCCCTGGTCTTGGACATTGCGGTGACGTGGTGGTGTGTTAGCGTGATGGGGATGGGGATCCATGGTGCGCTTCTAGGGCTTAATGTAAGCTCGTGGTCAATAGTAATAGCCGAGTTTGTGTATGTGTTTGGAGGGTGGTGCCCTCATACTTGGACCGGCTTTAGCACTGCTGCTTTTGTTGATCTTATTCCCATGTTCAAGTTATCTGTTTCCTCTGGCTTCATGCTTTGGTATTTTTTTCTTACTTCTTTATTTTCGCGGGATGATACATGAAAATTAAGGCTGTGTAGGCTTTTAGAGATTCCTAATGGCTCTTCTTGTTTGTTTCCTGCTTTGAACAGCTTAGAGTACTGGTATACGAGCATCCTCGTCTTGATGTCTGGATATGCAAAGGATGCGAATATCGCAATTTCTGCTTTCGCCATATGGTACGTACTACTTAAATATACCATGCAAAATATATAATATTGGAATAAGCTAGCGTTGTTGTTTTATTTTTTTTTTTTTTAAAAAAATTTGTTTTGCTTATTCAACTGAAACTTTCAGCCAATATATCTACACCTGGGAGCTGAACATATGCCTCGGCTTGTTGGGTGCAGCATGGTAAGCAACTACGTATACCACTCATTCTTCACAATATTTTGATTTATACATATATTCTTTGTTTATAATACTCCAGTTAACAAAAAAAAAAAAATGCAGCGTACGAGTGGCAAACGAATTGGGAAAAGGTGATGCGGACGCGGTGAGGTTCTCGATAAAAGTGGTGCTTGTGGTGTCAGCGGTGATCGGTGTGATATGTTCGGTTATTTGCCTAGCGTTTGGTGGTCAGATTTCGTATTTGTTCTCCGACAGCCATGCAGTTTCGGACGCTGTCGATGATCTCTCCATCGTCCTTAGCATATCTATAATCCTCAACATCATCCAGCCCGTTCTCTCTGGTTAGACGAACAAACCTTTTTTATTAGGCATATATATAAAAATTATAACCTATACTTTTGGATTTCACTCTTTTGTAACCACACAAGAGGTTTAACATTTAAACATATGACACAGGGGTAGCAATTGGAGCAGGGATGCAGAGTATGGTAGCATTTGTGAACTTAGCATCTTATTATGCAATTGGTGTTCCTTTAGGTGTCCTCTTTATTTGGGTTTTCCATTTTGGTGTTAAGGTACATAAATAACAACTCGCTATAATAATTAGTTAATATCCATTACTCTTACCATAGAGATCATGTAATGATTAATAAGTTTAATAATGCCTTAATTATATTGTATGCTTTTAAATTACAGGGACTCTGGTCTGGGATGTTGGTTGGAGTTGGTCTCCAATCGTTGATATTGAGTTATGTTATTTACAAAACTGACTGGGAAGTGGAGGTAATTTACTTCAAACATTCACTCTTAGTTAATTCGACATTTTGAATAATATCAATTGGAAGTTAAATCTTGATCTAATCACAGGTTAAGAAGACGAACGAGCGTATGAAACTTTGGTCTCTAACGTTACAGGAATCGAATACTCTTTCGATTGAGAGATGAAGAAAGGAAGTAATATATATATAGACATAAAAAGAAGTTTTAAAAATTGCTTTTGTTTTCGGAAAATAGTATTTGTGTTTTTTTACATTGGCTTTAAAAAATGAAGTACATGTGTTGAGATTGCATTATTAGGTTAATGCAACTCTCATTATCATTTAAATAAGGTTAAGAATGTTAAAGTTTTTCTTTTAGTCGGAGAAAAAGTCGTTTTTAAATAAGTTATTATTGGGATTTAAAAATTTTATTTTTGTTTTCGCTTACAGTATATGGGAAGGCTTGAAATTTTAGTTATACTTAAGCTTGGATGTATACTGTATTTTGTTTGTACGAAAACGAACTGTTTGAGTGCTGTATGTAATCGTGTATTTTTAAAAATAATTCTTTAATATATATAATTTTAAAAAATGTTACAAATCTTTTATCAGGCAACTCTTTTTTTTTTTTTCCTCTGGATCAAAACACCATATAACCATTGATAAGAAACTCATAATCTATGTTAGTCAAAACTTTACATCTTTTTCTCGTTCATCCTTTAGAATTTTAAAATAACAGTAAAGCTATCATTTTATTATAAAAAAAAAATCTTAACTAAATTGCAAAAATTTATAAGAAGGAATTTTTTTAGTTAAAGGTTTGATATCTAAATTTATGACTCTTTTATTTTATTTCAGTATAACTCGACTTTATGTACTCCAGTTACCATGCGTTTTACATGTAGAGATTTGATAATAAATCGAACATTATCGATGGGAATAATAAACTAAAAAATAATATGTATAGTAACAATTTAAAATCTAAAGAAAGCTATATTCAAAATTTGCATAATTTAGTATAGAAGAACTAATCAAGACACAATTTTCGATTAGTATAATTGCTAGCTCACAATAAGTTGAGGCCCAAACTATTTGACAAATAGAATAATATTGCTCACAATAAGTTTAGGCCAAAACTCTAGCTATACGTAAATACGTAATCACGATCAAGAGAACAAAAGACAAAAATGTGCATCCTAGATGTGTCTTCTCCATGATGTTCATCATCTAGTGAGCAAATATTCGGAAACACAAAAAAATCGAATTAGTGAAGAAGAACTAAGAACAAAAACACAAATTTCGATTGAATCAAATGAAGAAGACACTTCTAGAATATAGATAGAATTACCAACCATGCAACTTAATCGGAATGATAGAATCAAGAGATCTATACTTTTCAACTGCAAGAATCGGCATCGGTCGTTTAATACATATATGTGATCAACTTATCTGTCAATGGCATTTTCTTGCCAAGCTATATGATCTAACGTATTGTAACAAGTAAGATATTTCCCAAGTTTACACGTACGTTAGAAATTAACATATACAAGGTCTTTTTGTTATCGAACATGATCAAAACTTGGCATGACATTTTACATTGACTGATTGTCTCGTTCTTAAAAATAATTACCGTTTTTTTCTTCTTTACTTAACCTTTGTTTGCATATTTCAAAAACTTCTACGTTTCATCATTTACTAATATTTTTTTTTGTTTCTTAGATATTAATTCAACAAATGGATGTTTTCATATTATTATGGTTGTTCTGCTGCTTATCTAAAGACAGTAATGAAGAAAGAAAAAAGACAGTAAGTTTCCATTTTGTTGGGAAAAAAAACAAATTAATAACAATTTTCCATTATTGTTTGTGAGGAATTGCCTTTTACCTTCTTCAATATGTATAAAATTTTATACTAGTGTTGTTTCAAATAATAATTTTTGTAAGTGAAAAACCAATATTTTGATATATTTTTCTAGTGAACGAATATTAATTACCCATCACAATTAATATCTTCTAATCACATATTAATTGTGATGTTATCATTAATTTTTTTTTTTTGAAAAAAAAGAAAAGAAAAAAAAAGGACAATGCAAAAAAGTGAAAAAAAACTGGTCTTTCAGGTCAGGGTCAGGTCTTCTTCCTGCAAACATCTCCAAAACCTCAGAAATAGGGAAAGTTTCAATCTTTCCTCTCCCTTTTTTTGATTTTTTTGATTTTTTGTTGCTGCTTCTCGTTTCTTCATCCAAAATCGTTGATTCTGTTAAAGGATAAGAAGAGGAGAAGAAGGCGATTTACAGATTAGCCCCTCCTTCAGGTTTGAGCTCTCGAATACTCCAGGATATGAAAGGGGCAAGTCTTAAGAAGAAAACCCAGGTGTTGAACGAAGCTGGTGACGCTGAGACGGCTGTGGAAGCTGTCGGAGAAACCCGGAAAATTAGTGGAGACGGTGGGTTTGTCAGTGACGACGGCGGAGGAGGAGTAGGAGCTGGAGCTGGAGCTGGAGCTGGAAGTGGTGAGTCGATTCTTCGCGAGATGGGTGATGATAGGCGTACAGAGGATGGGGATGGAGATGAAGACGAAGATGAGGATGAAGATGATGGAGGAGATGAGGGAGATGAAGGAGAAGGAGAAGGACAAGGAGAAAGAGAAGGACAAGGAGGGCAAGAGGAAAGGCAAAAGCTTGATGATGGGTATTTCGAAATCGAAGCTATACGTCGTAAGAGAGTTAGAAAAGTGAGCCTCCCATTGTTTTGCCTTATTTTCAGCAAATGTGGTTTCTTTTTTAGCAACAACTCTGGAGGTTTTAGGTTTTGTAAGTTTTAGATTAGGTTACTTCTTCTCATTGTTTACACGTTGGTGTGAGAAATTTGGCTGCTTTGGTGATCAGTAATGATCCTAACAGATTCTAGGAGAGAAAGAAATCGCAAAGTAGTTTATAATCTAAAGCTGATTATAGTGTTAAGATTCTGGGGTTGTTGTGTTGTAGGAAGAGATTGGTGGTTTGGTGATCTTTACTGTTTAATATCTTCTTCTTTCTGTTTTTGATTGCTTGATTGACTCATTCTGCCTTTTAGTTTATTGGTTCTTCCGCTCTAACGTGTATTGGATGGTGCTTTTTGATTTGTAGGGCAAGGTCCAGTATCTAATTAAATGGTGAGTTCTACAAATCATACTCGTTTTCATTTTTTAAGTTTGTGTTCTTGATCAAACATATGCTTTTCCATTGACATAAGTTATAAACTCGGTTGTGAAAGGCGTGGGTGGCCCGAAACAGCCAACACATGGGAGCCTTTAGAGAATCTCCAGTCTATCGCTGATGTTATTGATGCATTTGAAGGAAGGTAAATAAATGCATCTTATTTAGTAGTTTAATGATACATTCAATTGATTGTTTCATGGATTTTGTTGGTTTAATGTGTGGATTTGCCTTCTTGTTTCAAAGTTTAAGGCCAGGAAAGCCGGGTAGGAAGCGGAAGCGCAAATATGGTGGTCCTCATTCTCAGATGAAGAAGAAGCAACGCTTAACATCTACATCACATGAGGCTGCGGAGAAATCTGACTCTTCTACGTCTCTCAACAACTCCCTTCCTGATATTCCTGGGCCACTAGACCTAAGCGGTTCAAGTCTTCTAAAAGAAGATGGGGAAGCAAAGAATGCTTATGCATCCAGCCAAGTTGAAGCCAACAGCGGAAGTGTTGGGATGGTACGGCAAGTTCCTTTGATTGAAGATGAGAAAGAGTATGATCCAACCCTTAACGAGTTAAGGGGACCAGTCAATAATAGTAATGGTGCAGGATGTTCTCAAGGAGTAGGCATTGGTTCTGAAGGTGATAATGTAAGACCCAACGGCCTTCTCAAGGTTTATCCTAAGGAGCTTGATAAGAACAGTCGTTTCATAGGTGCTAAGCGGAGGAAGTCTGGTTCTGTGAAAAGGTTCAAACAAGATGGATCCACAAGCAACAACCACACAACACCTACAGATCAGAATCTGACACCAGATTTGACTACATTAGACTCTTTTGGTAGGATTGCAAGGCTCGGGAACGAGTATCCTGGTGTGATGGAAAATAATAATTTGTCTCAGAAAACCAAGATTGAGGAGTTGGACATCACGAAGATACTTAAACCGATGAGCTTTTCAGCATCTGTATCAGACAATGTCCAGGATGTGTTGGTGACCTTTTTAGCGCTGAGGTTTGTCTCATTTGAGCTTTGGTCATTTCTCCGCAATTTGATTTCATATTTACTTATTTGGCTACTCTCATAGGTCTGATGGGAAGGAAGTGATGGTGGACAACAGATTTCTCAAGGCTCACAATCCTCATCTGGTACGATTATCTTTACAGCTTTTTTTTCTGCGCTTGCTCATTTGGAAGTTTCTTATAAGAGTTTCTAAATATGTTTGTTTTTTTTACACCAGCTGATTGAATTCTATGAGCAACATCTCAAGTACAATCGCACGTCTTAAATCATCCCGAAAGGCAAGAATTTGTTTGTACACAGCACTTGTAGGTAGAAAAAGATTAGATGGTTTTTTCTTTTCTTTATTTTTTCTAGCAACGCAACATGTAGAGTCGAGGTAGCAGTAAGTGGCTTTTTATATCGCGTCTCCGGGAGGTTTTTAGATTGTATTTTATCTCTTCGGGTTCGTTATGTTCACTCTCTATCATAGTAAATCTTGTCACTTGAACTTTTGCTTCTTACAGAGGAGGTTTTGTTGTACTTGCTTGTTCAAAGATCAAGTTCATGATGTATTGATGCTAGCAAAATATAAGTATCAAATATCAATCGATATATAATTATGTATACAAGCCAACAAGGTGAATCTTTCACTCTCGGATAACATTTGGTTGATGTAAGAATTCAGTTCCATGAAACTTGATCCTCTTGGGACTTGGTGGCTCGCGCAAGAACTCAGTTTCATATGCTCTTCTATTCAAAACTCTTGCTTCGTCAAATACCTTTGAAAGATCCAAATCAGAATTCTGAATTCTGTCAGACTCTCGCATCATGTCTTTGAATGATATAAGGTGCACTGCACATTTTTTAATCTCTCCAAGCGGGCTAGAAGATCCTCCTGTGTTTTCAATTGAAAATTCGAACAGGGCTTCGTTGTAAGCTCCCATGGACATGCATGTTCTGCTGAATAAAAGAAGGTGATCTGATCCAAAACACATCTTTGGAAAAGCTTTTGGATCAGGATACCACACCTCATCCATAATAATCAGCTCACAAGAATCAGCATCTTTTAAAATACAAGTGCAGTGTATCTTCAGACTGTTCATCGGGTACTGTCCATCAGCTCCAATCATGATGCAGGCAGAAAATCCTAGAATGTCAGACGATTCACTCTGAGGTAAGCGTATATTCAGAGAAGGACCCATGACTTGGTGACTGAAGCAAGCGGGTACATCATTTCCAGGAAAATAAGAATGTTCTGGTTTTGCTGACTCTAGCTTCATGTTACGGTGAATGAGAATCCGCGCTGCTTGATCCAAGTTGTAACAGTTGCTAGCTACAAGATTACGCAGACAACATTGGTTGAAGCAACCTGAGATACTTACTAGGGATGTGCAGCCATGGATGTAGATATACAAGAGACCTCGTGGAAGCTCATCGGGCAATGCCTGAAGTCTCTGGCAATTGTTTAAATTCAGTCTGTTCAACTTGGTGAGCCGTTTGATGCTTGCAGGGACGAACTTGAAATTGTTTCCACTCAGATCTAGTTCTAGCAGATTCCATAAGTTACCAATACTGTTAGGGATCTCTATCATGTTCATGTTGCTTAGGCTCAGAGCTCTCAAGTCATCAAACCTTGATAAGGGAGGACAAGCAGAATGCAACAAACCTTCTGGAGTATAGGAACTATTCCCAATAGCTAAAAGTTGAAGACGAGAAAGTTTTGCAATGGACCAAGGTGCTCGCCTTATAACTGTTTTACTGGCTTGAAGAACCTCAAGAGCTACTAAATTCCCAATGTTTTCAGGTAGTTCTTTAATACTAGTCCGATCTAAATCAAACCACCTCAAGCAGCTCATTGTCTGACAGATTTCTGGTGGAAAACTCTCCAGTAAAGAACATCCAGAAAGCTTGAGCTTTTCAAGTGATCTTAGCTCAGAAATGCTTACAGGAAGTGATTTCAGTCTTTTGTTTTCTGAAATATCCAAGGACCTAAGCTGAGAGAGATTACAGATCCTTGCAGGAATTTCTTCAATTGATGTTTCAGATATACGCAGAAGTTCTATATTTGTGGCAGCACGAGGGAACTCATTGACATTAAGGCAACCAGACATTTCAAGAGTTTCAAGAGATGTTAGGTTCTGTAATGTGTCTGGGAGGTTCTCAAGATGTTTGCAACCGTCCAAATTCATGGATTTAAGTGAGACCAAGTGCCTTACAGAGCTTGGAAGAGTCCTGAGTCTCTGGCAATCTGACATATCCAATTCGACGAGATAAGAGAGACGGCTGATTGATGATGGAAGTTCCTCTATCTTTGTACTGCTCAGATAGAGTCTTATAGTATTCCAACAAATTTCTGGAAAACGCTTTAGACTTGAGCATCCACTCATGTCCAATGTCTCAAGCGACTTCAAAGTTATTCCAACCGGAATGTTCTTGAGTTGGATGCAATTAGTCAGGTAGAAGCTAGAAAGTCTCTTAAGATTCTTGATAGATGGGGTAACCTCAACCAATCTTTGGGAATAGGAAAGGTTTAACTCCTCCAGATTTGTGGCTTTCGAGAGATCAGGAATTTCGACAAGGTATTTACAGCGAGTAAGATCCATTTTCTTCAAGTTCCTTAGAGGCTGAAAATTATTACATCAAACTGTTTTAGCATCTCGTCCAATAACAAATAACAAAAAGGGAAATTATCTGCAGTTTATATAGAGAAATTACCTGGATCCCATCCCAAAGTTTTTCAAGATTGCTATTACTTATACAAAGTTCAACAAGAAAATCAGGACAAAATCTTGAAGGCATAGTCTTTAAAGGGTATCCATCCCAACGTAGATAACGAAGCTTCCGTGGGAGATTACTGAGGCCATCAGGTAGATGCAGTCTAGTCTCTCCATCAAACGAAAGATCATAGAAGTTGAGAAGCTTGAGATTAGATAATCCTTCAAAAGCTCGATCACTGGCAAATACCTCAGAAATTTCAGAGAGGTTCAGAGAGATCCCTTCAACAAGTTGTGTTCCCTAAAGAAATTAAGAAGAAGCTATCAAAAGTCAAAATCATTTACATGAAGATTCTAAAAAGATGGATTGAGAAGAGAAGCACATGCACTTTAACTTACAGTAGAATTTTCTGAGAGCAACTCACAGATGTCTTCAGGATCCCATAAAAGTAACCGTTGGGTTGGGTTGTTAACTGCTTGTAAACGAACAAGCTCTCTACCCATCCGTTCAAGCAAATCATGCATCTTTATGCATCCATTTGATACAGCTATCAAAGACTTCTCTGTAAGAACTGTGATACTGATTGCAGCAGCATAGCCACAAAGATCCAGAATTTTTATGACATAATCGACATGCTTCATGTTATAGAAGCATGATATATAGAGAAAAATAGCCTTCTCTTGCTCATCCAATCCATCGTAGCTAACTCTCAGAACATCCATGATTTCACTATGAGGGTAAGTTTTAAGCCTTGCAAGGGTGCTTTGCCATTCTTTTTGGCTTCTTCGACAGAGAAAGCAGCCTAAAACTCGTAGGGCCAGTGGAAGACCAGAAGCATAGTTAATAGCTTGCACCGATAACTCTTGAAACCCATGTGGAATTATAATCTCATTTCTGAAAGCATAGTAAGAAAAGAGCTGGAGAGCTTCTTTTTTGGGTAAACACCTCACTTTATATACCAAATCTATGCCATGAGAAACTAGCAAATGTCTATCCCGTGTTGTCACAATGATTCTGCTTCCCGGACCAAACCAATCAATCTCTTTCACCAGTTCATTCAGTTGCTCAGATCTATCTACATCGTCGAGCACAATCAAAACCCTTTTATGTCTTAACCTTTCTTTTATCATGCTACGAAAAGAAACCGAGTCCCACGCTTCTTTCTCTCTCTCTCGAAACATTCTGCATAAAAACTCCCCTTGTAAACGCCTAACTCCATATCTGTTACTGACTTCCTTCACATTATCCATGAAGCAATGAGCTTGAAATCGAAATGAGAGTTGATTGTATAAGTATTTAGCAATCGTAGTTTTGCCAACTCCACCCATTCCCCAAATCCCCACCATCCGAACATCTTCGTCCTCCATAGACATCATAGAATGCAGAAAGTCCATATGGGAACTCATACCAATCAACCCTTCTGAATCATCATATAAAGTCGAAACCAGTTGATCAGATATGTCTTTAACAACCTTCTTAATCAGCTTCGACTCATCCCTCCTACCATACAAAGTTCATCACTTTAATAACTTTAAATACACACCAACTAGACTATCTTAGAAACTTACCAATTCCGAGAATCTTCACCAGAAATAGAAGCCAACTTCGTCAAAGCTTCTTTCCATTTTCTCACTTTCTCTTTATCACTGTGACTCTCAACATGTTCACCAATACCTCCCCTCTGTGATCTCACCTCCGAAGGATCAACCTCGTAGAAAATGGGTAAAACTGTCTGGTTAATCGTTTCTTCACATTCCATGATCTTCAAGAGCTCGTCTAAACACCAGCTTGAAGCTGCGTAGTTCCTAGAGACCACGACGATGGCGAATCTGGAGCCTTTGATCGCATCTCCAAGCTCTGGGGAGATGGATTTACCTCTCTGTAGATCCAAATCGTCTCTGAAAGCGTTGATCCCCATCCGATCAAGCTCGGAGAAGAGATGGCTCACAAATGTTTTACGCACATCTTCTCCTCTAAAACTCACGAAAACGTCCGTTCTCCATACGGCTGAAGAAGACGAAGAAGAATGAGAAGCCATGGATTCTCTCTGAGCTTTACCACATAAAAATTGTTGCTATTTTCACATAAGAAATTGTTTCTACTATCATCATCATCTAGTGATTGATTCTCCAAAACGGAAAAGTCAGAGACAGAGTCAGAGTCAACATAAAAATAAAACCTTTTTGTCCTCTTCTGCCGTGAAAGACGCTGAAACAGTTGATTCTCTGAAGGTTTCGATTTTCCAGTATCTTTGAGAAAGTATACATGATTGATGACATTTAACAGATAAGGGTTCAAAAGAGTAAAATATAAATATACAATGTGATTAGAGTTTGTTTTGTAGGTGAAGAGATTGAAACAATTAGGACATAACGTTCTTGAGGAAGTTGTAATCAATGTTGCAAAATCACTCAAGGAGGTGGTGAATCCAGTCCTTTACAATAAGCGGTGAGCCATACCAAGGTCTGGTTTCATCGTCCGAACCAACAGGTGAGTGGTAAACACCGTCGAAGCTAACATTAAGTGCACCTTCAAGATGAGCTGAAACCTCAGGAACCACTCCATCACCCCACACATCAGCTCTTCCACACACTTGCTTGTATCCTTGCCCTATAAAACGAGCGCGGAAACTAGGCCCTGAAGAAACCGATGAATCGTTCTTCTTGTTGCTTGATATAGAAAGCTCTGAAATCGCTTCTCCGCTATCGATTCCAACAGTCACATCAGAATCAACATCTGCATCTGCATTGTCCACCAAAGGAGCTCCACGAATGTATCTAAGTATGAAGTAAAAAATTCAGATTCCAAGTTTAGACATAGGTTTCACAAATATTGGTTTAAAGAAGAAGCCTTTACCTCCCGGCAATACAGACATATCTCAGCTCAGGAGTGTAAACAGCTTTTGCACAATGATCTTCGACATAGTAGAGAAGACCTCTTGTTTGGTCAATAACTCCTGATTGTCCTCTCGGTGGTGGTCTAAACGGGTTACAAAACCACATAGTTAGAACATTGAAGCAATATCTCTCAAGAGGTCTAAGAAAGTAAATTGACATTTTGTTACCTACAAGTGAGGCGTACCAAGCGTCAACAACAAGGAGATATCAGAGTTTCCGTATTCTTCCATGTAAACTCGAGCAAGCCAACCTCCAGCTGAGTGTCCAATCAATGACAATCCTTGACCTACAAGGGACGAAACTAGCAGCTAAGTATGATCCAAAAACACAAAGCAACAAGTTTTAGCTTAACCTATCTGCATCCAAATCAAAATGTGAGATTTACCTTGAGCTAACACATTGGCTTCACGGACTGCATCATCAATTCTATTCAAGTACCTGATCATCCATAAACAAGATTCATCATTTGAAACCACCCAAAAATTCCAAAACACAACATTCACAAAAAAAACAGGTACCAATCAAGAACAGGACGAGGGCGGAGCGTGCCACGCCAGTAGGCTGGATCAACCAAACCGGCTGCATTCCTAAACCAATCAAGCCTTGAGACAGCTGCAACCACGGAAGGAACACCGTACTCACCCAATGTTACCTCCAACTTCTTGTAGTCTCCTGAATTGTTCCCTAACCCCTAAAATCCAATTCCACAAAGGAACCATTTATTGAGATATGAAACCCACTATGGAATCATATAACTCAGAAACCAAGTTTTGGACTTTAAATACGTTTCAAAAGGAAGAATCTAGAAAATCTAAAACTACACGAAACAGAGAATTAAGTGAAACTAAAAATAAAAATCTCTTATTTATCTGTGGAACCACATTTTCAACTATAGTATTCTCATTCAGAAATCATGAGGACGTTAATTACCGGGAGAATGACGGCGGGACGGTGTTTGACTTCACCGGCGGAAGAGGAGGAGGAGGATGACGCGACAGCGGAGAAGTTTGGCCTCAGCCTGAGCGATGGAAGAATCGCTGAGGCCATCCTAATAAGTGGCTCTGAGAGTTCAAGCGGAGAAAGCTGAGTGTTTAAAATCCACATGTTCTGGTATATTTTGTTGTATTTACGAAAACACCCCATTTGTTTCAAATCTCATCACATTAAGTACAAAACTCTTGAAAGATTTATTTTTATAGATTGAGAAAACACAGCTGCCTCCTCTTTCTCATAACTCAGGCACCAGAAGAAAGAACACTGAAAAGAAAACATTTTTATGGTTGAATCCAATTAATCGAATCCTGCTTTTATCCTCCGAACAAAAAAATGGCTACTCTATGTCAAGCTTGCTCTTCGTCTTCAACTACACCATTGCTTCTGGCGAAAAGGGTGTTTTCCCTAGCTTCATCGCCGTATCTCTTCACGAGCGGATACAAAACCCCTCGACACTGTAGCAGCTTCAGAGCATTTAACTCTGCGTCTGCGTCTACCTCAGTTTGTGTCGATTTAAAGGAACTGAGAAGCAATGAATTGGTGGATTTGGAGTATGCAGAGCTAAACCTCATGCATAAGATATTTGAAGTATCCTCCTTTCTTTGCTATTCATTTCTTTGTTAACTCTAATTTCAATTTTGTTTCCAATATTTTGGTTTCTGGGTATTGCTCGTATTTCGGATAAATGTTATATTTTCTCTCTGTTGTTCCAAGTAGAGAGCTTTTCATCGTCGTAGGCTCTTCTAATTAGTGGTTAGGATTGAGTTATCATATGTTTTTTTCTCTCTGTGTTTGTTTCAGGACGTGGGTCATGTAAGAATCAGGCAGCATGTTAATCCTCTCAGTTCCTCTTTCTCTGTAAGTGGATAATGTTGCAAAGTTTGTGACAGCTTTTTACCATGTTATGTGAGATGGCATAAATGATTTACAAAGGTCTTTCTTTCTGATAGAAACCAGCTCCAGTTCCTGTTTGGGATGAAGTTTATAAGGATCCATCACTTCCTCTGATGGTGGATATTGGAAGTGGTAACTTGTGAGCTTACTTACAACTTGTGGGACTTGTGTTTTCTCTCAACTCAACTCTGTTTATAGTTTATTTCCTTAAGTTGATTTATGCTTCTTCGAGCTATGCGCGAAAGATGATTTCGTAGGAGGGAAACATTATTTTACCACCAATATTGTTCTCTTAGTTGATGAGTTACATTTACAGATTAGTTCTCTTGGAAGCTTTTGGTTGCATAATTTGTCATCTTTCTGTGGAATCTAAATTCGATTTTGGGCAGTCAAATAGCTCTCCCTTAAATTTTTCCTGGTCTTGCACCTCTCTCATACTTGAAATGTGTTGTCGACTTTAAAAAACAAAACTTTCCTATTTGATTTCTGTTCTTGAGTCTCTCCCTTATAAATGGTTTTTGGATTTGGATTCTTCAACTAACAATGTGGTTACTTCTTTATATTTTAGGTAGTGGCAGATTTCTCCTATGGCTAGCTAATAAGGATGCTGGATCGAGAAATTACTTGGGGCTGGAGATACGTAAGAAAGTAGGCATCAAGCTTCGTTGACAATTTCAAATTCACTTGACTAATCATCTGCATTAGCTAGTTGTAGTTTGGGTAACATTGGTCTTAACAAGTTCAATTTCCCACATTTCTTTGCAGCTGGTCAAACGCGCCAACTTTTGGGTGGATGATCTCGGACTTTCAAACGTGTAAGTTTCCAAAAAAACTTAAGAAGATGTTTAGAATACGCCGCCTCTGTGTTATACTAACTTACTTTGATGGATATTTGGATGGGTTTTCAGACACTTCATATTTGCAAACGCCATGGTTTCCTTTGAACAGCTTATAACAAGTTATCCTGGACCGTTGGAGATTGTCTCAATCTTGGTAAGTGATGAAGAAAAGTTGTAATAAGCATCCGAGTAAGAGAATGTTTCCAGTCTCTATCTTGATGGGATAATGCTGATCCAACTTCTTTGTTTTGGGGATTGTAAAAAATGCAGTGTCCAGATCCTCATTTCAAGAAACGTCATCAAAAGAGACGTGTTGTCCAAAAGCCCTTGGTGAATTCCATTATTCAAAACCTAAAACCCGGCGGAAAGGTAGAGAAGACTTGAATTATCTGTAATAGCTTTCTCTGCCCTCCAAAGTCTACCAAAAGCTTGTACATACTTAATATACTTGTTTTTTGTGTGTTTGGCTTGTCCACAGATCTTTGTGCAATCAGATGTACTGGATGTAGCTCAAGACATGAGAGATCAGTTCGACGAGGAATCAAATGCTCTCCAACATGTGGACACAGTTGAAACAGAGGATGATGGTTGGGTGATGAAAAACCCGATGGGTATACGAACGGAAAGAGAGATACACGCAGAATACGAAGGTGCAAGAATCTACAGAAGACTTTACCAGAAACGTCAGCTTACATGATTCAGTCTCCCTCAATCTGGTCGTTTAAGTTGAATAACCGAGTCGTTTTAAACCAAACCGTACCGGACTTTTTAGTTTGATTAAACAAGTCACGTGACTTTAAAAAGAATTTTGTAATGGATTAGGGTGTGTCTTAATTTGACTGGAATCAGATCCTTCATCCTTATCGTGATTATTTTTCATTATCTATAGAACTTATTCGTACTATTTTTTCATTCTTTTAATAAGTTTTGAAAGATGATTTAATTGGTCGGATAGGACCAATGTTGAAAATAGAGAGAAAAAAAACTTATAAATGAAGGAAAAATAAAGCGCGTGCGTGGAAACTACGTCTCAGGCGTTTCCTCTGCTTTCGACAAACGCGGAAGTATATATATTGCAGACGACGGGACCGTGATCTTTTCAGAATTACGAAATCGAATCAAGTCTCGTTCTTTCTTTCTGGGCAATTGCTTGAAGACCGTCGCAGTGTCGAATCCGCGATAATCAGATTAAAAAGAACCCTAAAGGTTGGTACTCACATCTTCTTCTTTTTTGTTTAAATTTCTAATTTCTGTGTTTTGTGTGTTGAATAGTAGCATTCAATCTCGTGATATGGGGATCTTTATGTTCTGTCTATGTTAAGCTTACTGAAGCTGATTTGGGGATCTTTATGTTCTGTCTATGATGAGCTCACTGAAACTGATATGGGGATCTATATGTTCTGTCTATGTTGAGCTTACTGAAGCTAAGATTTTTTAAAAACCCTAGAACAGTTCTATAAACTTCTAAATGTTTTCACAACAAAATTGATTATTTTTGTTCGCTTAGAGAAGTCGGATTTGATTGTTTGGTGAAGTTTCTTAATCAGAAGCATCCTTCTGTGAATGAATTGTCGATCAAAGAAATAACTGTTTTTTGCTCTTCTCTTATCCTTTTCTTAAACTTTTGAACATGTTCTGTTGAGTTCTCTTTTAAGATCACATCGTATATAATTTGTCTCTCTTGAAGTTGAGTATTTTTTTACTAGCATTAACTTTTGAAATTTTGAGTCGACGCGGACATTCACTTAGCCTATTAGTACTTATCCTCACACAGAGTTTATGTGACAAAGTTATCTGTTGTCTTTCATAATCTAATGCCAATGTGTTTTCTTCTTTACAGTTTAGTAACCCTTTACTCTGAAAACCAAAGTGTCACAAAAAAAAATGGGAGATGATCATCATAATCACAAGGACAAAGGACTCTTTCACCACTTAGCAGGATTTGCAGGCGGACATTACCCGCCTCATGGTCACGGTTATGGTCATCATGGTCATGGTTATGGAGCTCCTTATGCATACCCGCCACCCCCTCCGCCTCCTCCTCATTATGGCTATCCACCAGCTGCTTATCCTCCACACGGTGGTTACCCTCCAGCTGGTTATCCTCCAGCCGGTTATCATCGTCCATCTCACTCTGGTAATTTCAATCTCTACTTTACATTCTTCCTCATACAAATGTCTTTACATAATTACATGTTGGTGGTATTTAGGCTTTTGATTGTTGTTCTGTATTTGCTTTTATTGTATAGTTGCGTATTTTTTTTTCGCCAAATGACTCTATAACCTTTTGTATCTTCAAAACAAACTACATTTGTAAAACATAGCAAATGACATTTGAAACAATTGAGACCTTTGACTTGATGTTTAATGAGGAAATCCAATTAATGTTACAGGACATCACCACGGAGGTCTAGGAGCGATGATAGCTGGTGGACTGGCTGCAGCAGCTGGTGCTCACCATATGTCTCACCATGGACACTATGGTCACCACCACGGTCACGGCTATGGCTACGGGTATCACGGTCACGGGAAGTTTAAACACGGCAAGTTCAAGCACGGGAAATTCGGAAAACGCTGGAAACATGGGATGTTTGGGAAGCACAAGGGGAAGTTCTTCAAGAAATGGAAGTGATCTTTTTATCCCCCAAACTTCAAAGATATCATCATTACATAGCTATAAATATTAATAAGTCTGTAAAAAATTACATAGTTATTATACCAAGCCTAGGTAGAGGTTAGAAAGTTGTGATCTTTCTTTCTTGCTGGGGTTTGGTTTTTATGAAGCATTTTGTTTTACATTGGCATTGTATGTATGTATAAAGGTTTCTACTTTTCGTAGTTGGAAACTGAGATCCACTTGTTTGAGAAAACGATTGACTCTTTAATATTTGATGTGGAACCTTCAATAAACTTGTTACTGTAGTTCCTTTTTTCCTGGAGTTGAAAGTATGATTAAGACTGGTTTAGTGAATACTTATCCACTTTTTGTGTTATTGGGCAAATTGTTTCTAGGTTTGGTTTTAAGGAATAATATGAACCATTAATGAAGAAAAAGTAACTTGGATTTTGTATATAAAGAGAGGTATTAAGATGCTTTTGAGTTTGCTGCCAACCTAGGAAATTTTTTACAAAGTGGAAGACAGAAATGCTAAAAAGAGTTAAGAAAAAAAAAAGTTGGCAAAAGACAACATTATCTATCCAACCTGTCACTAGTTTTAATTTTAATTATAATCTACTAAATTTATATAATTCTCAATCATTCATCAATCCAATGGTTGATTATATATCTGCAATGTGATATTTGATGATCCTCTAATTAATCTTATGATAATTGGGTGTATACGACTATTAAGATAAAATAAAGGATTAGGCGGGCACACAAACTTTTGATTTCATGAACTGAGTTTGTGTTTGTTTATACTATAGACTATAGTGATATTATCTTAACGTGACTGAGGTCTTAATATACACATTTTGTTTCTTTTCACTGATATGATCACAACAGTTTGAATTTATATGTATTTTTTTAATATGATGATAACATGTTCCGATTTGAATAAGAGAATATTATAAAGTTTTATTATACTGTATGTGTTATATTAAATATCAAAAGTAGAACATGACAAAAGATTAGTTTAACCATAATTTTGACATTGTTCATTGATTCATATGGGATGCTTGACAAATATATAAATGACAAGTTCTTGATTATTAAGAATTTCGGATCTGTAGAGAATACACAAAATCAACCTACTTTAACAAAAACAATCCGGGAGATAAGAATAGATCAGGGAATTAAAACTATTGTATTGATAAATTTTAATTAGCTATGAACTTTGTTCGACTTGTGATACAAAACAAACTCCAAAGTCGATCGGTGAAAATTAAATTCAAGAAGATGAACAAACTGTAAGATTAGATAGAGAAGTCGCTCATTGATTCTCATAATCAAGTGTTATGTGTCAAAAGATCCTGAAATGGCAAGAGGATGGATGCAATCAAACTCTCTGAAGCAAAGAAAGGAAAGAAACTCTCTACATACATAAAAGTGCGATTAGAATGATCGTATCATGAAAATAATGGTTTTATAAGATAAAGAGAAGAATCAAAAAGATTAATTGACAATAAAGCAGACAGAATAAAATTAAGGATCTTGTGGTTAATCATCAAATTAGTCCAAGCTAAAAATTGATTTTGCTTAATTAATGCATGTTTTTGTAACCGCTCTTAGACTTAAGCGTACCACTTGAAAAATTTCAACAAACACGAACCACAAATATTATTACATAAAGATAGATAGATATAAAATACCCAAATAATGTGTTTTCTCACACTTATATGCTTCTTTGGGTGCTATAACTCTTCAGCAATGACCACTGTTCTTCTTTATAATATCGACCCAAAAATAAGATAACCAAAAAACCAAAAATCTCTCCGTAAAGAATGTACATGTAACATGACTTAGGAAAAAATACATTTTCAAAATTTCTAATTTGATTTTTGCTTAAATATAGAGGAAAGTCCACAAAGCTATCTACATTTTCAATCATTATTTTTCTACTTGATCAATAAGTTATTCACTATTCAAGGTTTCCATTTTGCTTAGACGTTATTCTTTTTTTCTTTTCTTGAAACCCCAACCAAATTAATTTGGGGAACTCAAAACAGTTTAAGACATCATTTAATACAGAGAATCTAGACATGAACATATATACTATTATATAGTTCTGATTCAAAAGAGGGCAAAAGAAGAAGTCTGAGAGAGATGATGAACTAAATGACAGTAAGAGAAGCACATGTCGAAAGATGTCAGCTCCTCGATAACCCATCTCTTTCCTCCTTTGCGGCTCTTTCTTTTTTTATTTATTTTTATTTTTTATATCTTATTTAGAGAAAGTTGCATCATATTGTAAAATTTGGTACTAATCAATAATCATATCAAATTAATTATAAACAGGAGATATAAGTGGAAACAAATTTAGCGAGTCTATCTCTACATTTTATAGTAAACGTCGTGCAAATATATAATTATCCATTTTATATCTCTCGACTCTCATGGTGCATGATTGTGAATTTTAAAAAGAAAAATAGTGAAAATAATTTACAAGTTTCGATGACCACCACGTCTAGTAGACTACTAGTAGTTCAATTATGAAATTTTATATCAAATTTTGCATATTCTTGAAAAACAAAACTAAAATACTAAAATAAAGTTGGACAGTTGGGATATGAAGTCAGGCTTATGTGTCTGAAAGTGATTAGATTTTTTTCTTTTGTATGTAAAGGAGAAAACATGGCTCCAGCTGTATTCACGTACCCATATGATAATCCCATCTACTTAATATTCTTAACATTTTTTTCTTGTTTATTCCATATTCTTAATATAATAATTAGATAAACTCGATAATAATTTGTGTGTGTTTTGTTACGTAAATTGACTTCTTTTTTTTTTTTGGATATTATCTTTTTTTTTTGTTTTTTATCCTCACCAAACACTATATTTAACCTACCCTCTAGTTCAATAATTCGAGTGGGTTGAAGTTATTATTGTTGATAAAATAAGGAGTGACACCCATTTATTTAATACTAAATCATTATAATAGTTCCTCAAACATGCTTTGAGGATGGGGCTATTATTATTTTTTTAAGTAAAAACTAGGTACCAAATATTGAATCATGTTGAAATCTAGACAATAACATATAATATACTGATATTTTAAATAATTATTTATAGTTATGAACTTCAAATTAATATTAGTGAAATTTTATTTTCATCTATTAAATTTATATCATAAGAATATTGTTTAAAAAATTATATTAAAAAAATATCTAATAGTATAATATAAGAAAAACTAAAATGTGATGTGATAGAATATGAGTGGACAGATGTTTAAAGCATTAATTTCCATAGCATGTTTGTTCGTATACATTTAAGAAACCATATCGTTTTTAAAATAAGATTATAACAATTTTATATTTGAATTTTATTAAAATTTCATAATTAATACCGAATACATAAACTATTAAATTTGATGGAAGAACTCATTACTAAAATATTCCAATGGAGTAAAATTTACATAGCATGTAGTAAAACTATAATGAATGTTTTTTTTTCTCGGATCAATGAAAAAAATATATTATGTAATTGTAAGTTTGACGTAAAAAAAAAAAAGGATAAAAGAGGAGATAAATAAATTGCAAAAAGAGGAGCAAAAATAGAAACCCTTTATTTGCGTTTATATTCTCCCCGTCAATTTCGTAGCCAAAGAATATCACACACCATTTTTTCTTCGGGTGTTAGAATATTTTTACTTACACAGCAAAAACGAGAGAGAGAGAAGAAGAAGAAGAAGACGAAGAAAAAGAAAAGTTTCTCTCTTTGGGGCTTTGTGAATACCAAAAAAATCGAAATCGCATCACAATCATCTTAATAATAACAATAATCTTTAAATCTCTCTCTATGTTTCTGTTCCCTCTCTCTCTTTGATTCTTCTGCTACCATTTCACTACTATTCTCATTTCTTTTTTGGTTTTTACGAGAGGATTTTGTAAAGGTTCTAGCTTTCTTGGGATCTATCAGATTGTCTTTTACCAAAAAAAAAAATCTATCAGATTGTCTTGAAAATTATGCTTACGGGTTTACACAGGTTTGTACCATAATTCTAATTTGTTTCTTTCTTTCCTCATTTCTTGAAAAATCCTAATTTTTTCTGCTCTTATTTATTGTTTCATCAAAAAAATTGAGCTCTTTTCACTTAATTTGATTCTCTCTCTGCTTCTTTGTGTTTCATTACCTCGACTTGAATTGGTTATATTATAGCTTGAGCAGCTTATATTTAGCTTTAAGGTTTGTTAAATGTAATGGAGTTTGTCTCTTGCTGTTGTTTAATCTAAGTATTTTAATCTCTTAGAGCTTGAAGCTTTAAGTTTACTTAATAGTAGAAGTCATGTGGAAAAAGGAAAGATAATTAAATTCTCTAGCTTAGTGGTGTTGTCATAAAGAAAAAGAGAGGGAAATTTCTATTTCAGTAGAAGTGTTTTAATGATTGTTTGAACAGTTCATCTATTAGTTTCTTAAGGCACTAGAGTGTTGTTTTGTTTCATACTTTTGTTGTGTTCTCAGTTTCTGTTGATTTTGGTTTAACTTTGGTTTAATCTCTTTCCTTCTTTGGTGTTGGCTTGTTGTTAGGTTGATTGATCGTACCACCATGGATATGCAGCCTCTGTGATCCAATGGGGGCAATTTTCTGACATTTAATGGATCCCCAAGCTTTTATTCGCCTATCTATTGGCTCTCTCGCTTTAAGAATTCCAAAGATCCTCTTAAATTCTTCCTCAAGATCAGGTGAGAAGAAGAACTGTTCTTCTCAATGTTCTTGTGAAATAAAACTCCGAGGCTTTCCTGTTCAAACAACATCTGTCCCTTTGATGCCGTCCCTAGATGCTGCTCCTGACCATCATAGTGTTTCCACAAGCTTTTATCTTGAAGAATCTGATTTGAGAGCTCTTATGACCCCTGGATGCTTCTATACTCCTCATGCTCACTTGGAAATTTCGGTTTTTACGGGTAAAAAGACTTCGAATTGCGGTGTTGGTGCAAAAAGACAGCAGATTGGGATATTTAAGTTGGAGGTAGGTCCTGAATGGGGAGAAGGGAAACCAATGATTCTCTTCAATGGATGGATCGGTATTGGAAAAAATAAGCGGGATGGTGGCGCAGAGCTTCATTTGAGAGTGAAGCTCGATCCTGATCCTAGATATGTTTTCCAGTTTGAGGATGTTACTACTTTAAGCCCTCAGATAGTTCAACTTCGTGGCTCGGTCAAGCAACCTATCTTCAGTTGCAAATTTAGCCGAGACAGGTGACTTTTGATTTATTCATAGTTGCACAAATCTGTCTCTTTGTGTTCTCTATATAGTTGCTGATGGAGCTATTGATTCCTCAGGGTGTCACAGGTGGATCCGTTGAATGGTTACTGGTCAAGTTCAGGTGATGGAACTGAACTTGAGAGTGAGAGACGTGAGAGAAAAGGCTGGAAGGTGAAGATACATGATCTCTCTGGCTCTGCAGTTGCTGCTGCTTTCATAACAACTCCTTTTGTCCCATCCACTGGCTGTGATTGGGTCGCCAAGTCCAACCCGGGTGCTTGGCTTGTGGTCCGACCTGACCCATCTCGACCCAACAGCTGGCAGCCATGGGGAAAGCTCGAAGCTTGGCGAGAACGCGGGATCAGAGACTCTGTGTGTTGCAGATTCCATCTTTTATCAAACGGGCTAGAAATTGGAGATGTTTTAATGTCTGAAATTCTCATCAGCGCTGAGAAAGGCGGGGAATTTTTAATCGATACGGATAAGCAGATGCTAACGGTTGCAGCTACCCCGATTCCAAGCCCGCAGAGTAGCGGAGACTTCTCAGGTCTGGGACAATGTGTGTCTGGAGGCGGGTTTGTAATGAGCTCAAGAGTGCAAGGGGAAGGAAAAAGCAGTAAGCCCGTGGTGCAGTTGGCTATGCGGCATGTAACTTGCGTGGAAGATGCAGCCATTTTCATGGCGCTTGCAGCAGCTGTTGATCTTAGCATTTTGGCTTGTAAACCTTTCAGGAGAATGAGCCGGAGAAGGTTCCGGCATTACTCCTGGTGAAAAAAGGAACTCTCATTTGTGTTTTTTAGTGTACAGTTTTTAAATTGGACTCAAAAGTCTCATTGTATTAGGAAGAAACTGGCTTAAGATTAAGAAATTTGACTCTTCTCAGAATCAGACCAACTTCATATTAATGGAATAAAATCCAGTAGAGGTCAAGAACTAAAGTAGATCAAAGTCTTTTAAGCAACTGAACCAGTTAACAGAAATGAAGATTCTAGTCTCATAATAAGATTTAAAACAGCAAAAAAAAAACAAAACTTGGAAAGAATACAAAAGCTTGAGGAAACATTGGATTTGCCCTTAAAACCTTTAGTTCTTCTTATCACCTCCAACTTCAATCTTCTTCTTCTTTGCGGTGGCCTGAGAATACAAGAAGGTTCCAAAAATCGCAATGGCTGATCCAAGAGCATTCAGAGGCCTAACAGGATTCCTAAACACCAAAACCGTAGAGACAATCACCACAACTCTCTTCATTGTATTCCCTACAGAGAAAGTCAATGGACTGATCTCGTCGAGGGCCTGATACGAAGATTGGTTGTACAAATGGTAGAAGACACCAGAGAGCATAACCCAAAAGTAGAACGTTGATGGTTTCCCAACAGACGCAATGGCTTTATGGTAACCTGGAACCCAATGTGATCCTTCAACGAAAATAGCCACGGGAAACAGATAAAGCAGAGAGAGTATACTGATGCAACCATACAGATTCAATCCATCAATCTCTTTAAAGCTCTGTAAACTTCGTTTAGAGTAAATGTTTCGCAATACGAAACCAACATTACTAATCATAGCTCCTGATAATCCACCTAAATTGAACGAGACTTCAGTGACTGCAGCTAAAGAACAACCCATAACGATTGGAAGAATCGATAACCAGACAGCTATTGGGTACGAATCACCGAGCAGAGACGAGAAAATAACCGAGAACACAGGCTCTGCTGATTTGATAACATGAGTGAAAGAAACAGCTACTTTGGAGAACGAGACACAAGCTGAGATGTGTCCAATAGTGTGGAACAATGCAGGACCAAGGAGAGCAATGATGAAGGGTTTTGAAATCTTAGGGCAAGGGTATAGCTTAAATGACCATAAGATTAACATCCAAATGGAACCTGCAAAGAGCTGAAACGAAGCGAGAAGCCATGGATAAGGGAAGACATTGAGTGCCTTTTTGTTGAAGATGTTGAAGACAATGTTCTGAAAATACCAAAGACCGAACACGATCCCTAACTGAAGAGTCTTCGCCTTCTTCGCTTTCTTCTCCGCTTCACCAAGATCGGACTCTTCGTAATCCCCATCTGGATTCGAATCCGATGACCCAGCGGCGGCGACGGATCTGGGTTTTCTCGAGAACCCAGATGTGTATCCGGGGTTAGTGAGTGAAAGCAAGGGTTTTGAATCGGTGCGAATCTGGAGACTGGGAACCGGAGAAAGCCCTAGTGAGTAACTGTGCTTGAAGGGTTCAGGGTTGGTGACGAGCAGAGCAGAGAGACGGGTCGGTTGTTGACGGGTCCGGGTCTTGTGGAGGAGACCCGGATTCAGAGAAGGAGATAGATTCAGGGAGATCATTGCTGCTTAAGCAAGCAGAGCAACCACGAACGCAGGAGAAGAGAGAGAGAGGGAGAGAGAAAAGAGATAACTTTGGTTTCGGCTTGTGGGTCGTCGTCGGCTCTGGACCGAACGTCAGAGATCCGTTGGGAAGTACAAATTTTTTTTGAAAGCTCTGTTCTTGGACTTTGTGTTTCCTTCCAATATAGTACACCTTTAACCAAACAAAAAAGTTATTATATAGTTTTTTGGGAAATCCCTAATTTTTTTTACGACACTTTTTAAATTTTTTATTCCAATTTTTTTTTTTTTTTACCATCGGCGAGGCTAGTGTCAGATCTCGAGATTTGAATCGTTGTTGAAGACGTCGCCGGAATCAGTGGGAAGAGGAAAATGGCGGCGAAGCAGATGGAAGAGATACAGAAGAAGCTAGGGTTGCTTAACTATCCTAGGGCAAATGCTCCTGCTCAATCTCTCCTCTTCGCCGGGATGGAACGTTACGCTCTTCTCGAATGGCTTTTCTTCAAGTAAATCTCTTCTTCTCCGACTTTATGTGTCTGTTTCCGATCATATACCGGAAAACAAAACTGGGAAACTTTTAATTTTTAAGATCTATTGAACTAGCACAATTTTGAAAATTTCGAGTCTAATCAAAATCTGTTGACACTGTGTTTGGTCAATGTCAAAATGGAGAAATGGGTCTGCTTGAATTGCTTGAGTAACCTGAAATTTTTCTTCTTTTGGCTATTCTTCAAGGTTATTGGGTGATAAATCTCCTTTCTCACAGCAAAATCTCCAAGGAGATGCTGGGGTTCGTGATGAAGAAACTGTTCGTATTCAGTGTAAGTGTTTCTTTTATCATATAGAATATGTTTCCATTAGTGCTTGAGCTTTGATATACAATGGTTCTTAGTTCCATTGATATTTTGGTACTCCTGGAAGAGTTTGTTTGAGTGATTGCTATTCCGGCATGTATGTTAGTTTTGATGTGTTAAAGGATTTCTTCTTTTCAGATTTGGCAGAGATAGCAAAGTTTTTGGGGATTACACCATCAGTAGATATAGAAGCCATTCAAGTAAGCTTTTTATAATTGTTAGATCATCTCTTTTACAATTGGCTTATATCTGCTCAAGTTCCACGATTGAATTTTTCTTTTGTTTTGTAAAAACTTTGAAAATGCAATAATAGTATCATTGTTACAGGGACATGGAACCTATGAAGATCGGATGGAAATGCTTCGCAATATTGTTGATTTAGTGGAGGCAAGTCTATTCTCAGATAATCAAGAATGGAGGTAGAAATATCACTTGTATCTGCAATCCGCCAGTTTATATCATTAGACTGGCATCTTGTAGTCTTTTATCTTCCTAATTCCCATCTACATTATAGTTTGTTTTGTTCTTTGAGCATAACACTGATTTTGCTTGTTCTTCAGTATTGATGAGCAGGTTGCCAAAGATATCCAGCTCATAGATGCTATTGCAGAGAGACAGTCTCTTATATTTTCTGAAGAATGTAAACTGTTCCCTGCTGATGTGCAGATCCAGTCGATATATCCATTGTAAGAACTACTTTCTCCTGCTATCTCCAAGTTACTGCACCTTTTGTCGTTATTTAGTGATTGTGGGTAATACGAATTTTCAGATGAACTGTAAGTGTAAACTTAGTTCTTCAAATCAACATATGAAATTTAGCCACTATGAGCCCCAAGGGTTAGCAATGTGTTTTTGGTGTCATTTAGTTATATCCTTTATCATTACGTATTCTTCCAGATCTACCTGGTCTTAGAGTTTTCCATTTGAGATCAAGCTTTAAATTATACTACAATTTACGTGCAAACCTAGGTCCTTAGATTCCTGTTTTATGTTTCAGCAGATGTAGTGACATTATGTTCCTTAATGGAAGTTTATTTGCAGACCAGATGTTTCAGAACTGGAGACAAAACTTTCAGAACAGGCCAAGATTCTCTCTAATCTTCAACAGAAAGTCGATGACTTGGCAGCAAAGGTGAGTTTTGTTTTGACTCTCAAGTAAAGAACTCATTGGACCAATTTGCTGTTTCGTCAGACTTGAAATATTTCACTCAACATATTCCTCATCGCACATTTGCCTGTAAACTGCATATACCAATTGCTTAACATATAACTCCTATTTCTCTTTATAAGTAGCTTCTGATGTAGCCAAGACTTGACCTTCATTCTAACTAATACTTATATGCAAACTCAATTCCTACTACTTATTGACTTGTTGATAGAAGGCCACAGTCTTGTGTTTTTAACTGCTAAGTCCAGATTGTTTCAATTAATTATGTCTTTTCTCCTTGATTTCTCCTTTCAGCATGCTTACAACCCAGATGAAGAATATACTGAAGTGGAATCTCAACTAAGGGCTCGTTTAGAATCGTTTCTTGAAACTGCTAGGGCGTTCAATACAATCTACACAAAGGTGTTTTTTCATTCTAATCATAATTCTCTCTTTTTATCAGTCTAAATCAGCTGGAAACAAATTGATTAAGTTCAGCATTTTTCTTGTAGACATGACATATGCTATTTCTTTCTATCATGCTGCATGTCGCAAAAATATGTCTGAGAATATCTTTTGATTTTTCAGGAAATTCGTCCATGGACACATATGATGGAAGTGCCTCAGCTTCATGGTTTTGGTCCTGCTGCAAACCGTTTACTGGAAGCATATAATATGCTTTTAAAGGTACCTGATTGTCTCCTATCTTATTACTTGGTTGTATCTACTATATTGAGTAGCTCTTGGCGGATGTAACTTTAGTGAGAACTGTGTTCAAGAGCCGGATCAAGTCCATATCAGTTATACTTGATTCTGATAACACGATGAAATGAAATTATTTGTGTATTGTTTGGCAACAGTTCCTAGGTAACTTGAAGAATCTAAGAGACTCACATGCAGCACTTTCCATTGGATCATCGGGGACAGTTGCTGGAGAGCCTTCTTCTGTGTCGAGAATTGTATCTGAGTGTGAAGCTGCATTGACTGTTCTCAATCGAGATCTTGGAATCCTCTCTGCTTCTATTGCTCGTGAGCAAGGCGAGCGGCTATAACTGTAACGAATTGACCACACATGAAAAGGGCTGCGTTTATTGCATCATTCAATCCTACTCCATGAATGTGATGATTTGGGTTAGAAATCATTTTAGGGGTGTGTTTGGATCTCAAGAATTGTAACTCTTTTGAGCTTTTTTTTTTTTCTCTGTTCCCAAACTTATGTAACCAAATCCATTCTAGAAGTAAAGTTTCTCATTGTTTCTTAATATAAGTCTTAGATTTATATTTGTACAATGGTTTGTGAAATTCGATGGATTTACCAATCAGAAATGTAAACGTCTCATATAAACAACCATATACGCAAAAATTGATGATTGTAAGTTTGTAACAATCAAAGCCTTACATGGCTTCAGACCTGATAGAACAGAATACCATGGATCTCTCAAGCTCAAGAGCTACGCTCAGCTTTTGGCAAAGGCAAAAGAAAAAAAGTCTTCACTGAGTCTTTCTTCTTTGATACTATCAAAAACTGCCTCGGACACCGTCTAGGCTTTCCCCGAGAGATAACCTGCAAAAACAGATCAATATTTAGATGTTTCATATCGGTTAAGAAAACTCATTATTCATATTGTCCTCACCTAATGGGGAGTGAGAACCACAATGATTGTCAAGTTCCAAAAAGTGGTAGTAAAACCAAAAAGAATATAGTCGCTTTGACCTTACTTGTACATACAATACTTGTATTCTTGGCTTCTAATCAAATCTTTTTCGCCTTCTTCAAGCTGCAACAATAAAACAAGACAATGCATACTGAAGAGACAGAAATTACAGAAAACTTGAACATGATCATAATCATCGTTTTTACAAGCCTCACCGGATCACTCTCATAAATGAGTTCATAGCAAACCGGAGAAAGGCATCGCAGCGCACAGTTCTCTTTTGCTATTGCAGAAGATATGCATTGCCAACCCCATAACCCACTGTTTGTATCCCACAACACAAAATCACAAAAGTGAGCAAAGAAGAGCCAAGAATCTGCTTAACAAGTTTAGCCAAATCATCCTACAATGAGTAAAGCTACAAAATTTCCCAATCTGTAAGAGATAAGCAAGAATCAAACTTAGGATAACGATATGGTGTTCCCTAGTAGCCTAATCACATCAGTAGAATCAAGAAATTTTTTCTCAACAGAAGCATGTAAAAGACAAAAAAAAAAAAAAAAAATAGCAAAATTTTTTTCTCAACAGAAGCATGTAAAATCCTTTTACTTCATCCTGATCTCACCTCTCTATATCAGCATAGCATTCGTTCTTCTTCTGCCTGATCTCTACATCCTACCAAAAATTTTGATTCCTCCCGCAAAATTAGCAACCATAATTGCAACGGAGCTTAGAATTGAGTGAGAGAACAGAAATACTTACGGAGATAGGACGAGGAGATTTAGCCAAAACACAGGACAGTAAACAAAAGGAGAGTATCAAAAGAAGAAGACAAACGAAGCTTGAACGAGCTCGGGAAATTTCCATGGCTTCACCTCTCTCGATCTTAGTTTTAGTCACAGCGCTTCGATTTAGAAGAAACGGTTTTGAGAATTTCTCGAGAAAGCCGAACCGGTCTATTCTTATGGGCTTATATATTGGGCCGACTAACACAGGTTTAAGTTTGAGAAATGTTCCACGATGAATCGTATCTATGATGAAAAAAAACGTCAAGAGACGCACTATAACTCAACTACTTCCTCGATGTTGAGTATTATCAGATTTATCTAATTTTTCACTATTTCAAATATTTGGGTTCACTATTGTTTTTTAATTAAGTGAATCATTTTCTAATAATGGTGGTGAGACAGATGACAGTAACTTTGGACTCAAGCTGAAGCATCCGAATCTTTTTTATTTCTTCGTGGTGGTTTATAAAAATTGAGATTGAGATTATTTGACGCACTTATAGGATTCCCTGCTAAGTTACCAAATCTTATTGACCTTACAAATTTGAGTTATCTTCTTCTTTACATCACTTTAGTTATCTTTGATGTTCATGTCTGTCCACTCGAAGATATATATAGGTAAAAAATTGTGAAAAAAAAACCCTACAACTCTCTTTCTTGTTGTAGTATGAATTATTTTGACGTCATTTTCTATATATTTGGTCAAAATATGAAAAAAATGTTGGTTAACAATCTTTTCCCAAAGAATTTTAAAGTCAATTTTTCAAAACCATTAGAGAGACACTTTTACTTATCATTAAATACACTTAGATGTGGTTAGAAATCAAAATTAAAGATGTTTGTTTAGCTATCCCATCTTTAGGTTGGTTTGAAAATTGATGTTTTTTTTTTTCATATCCAAATACAAAATTAGACATACACTTAGCCACGTGGGTTTATATATTATCAATCTAATTATCGCAGTATATAAGAGACAGTGTCTCACATGACCGACCCTGACCTAAAGCAGGTGAAGCTCATACTTTATGCGTTCAGGGCATCAATTTTTTTTTTTACAACAACGTGTAATGCAGTGGTCGATTCTTATAATCATGTTATCAAGATCCCAACAAAAAGAAAAGGTTCGTTGATTACAAAGCTCAGAATATTGCGACACAATTACAAATTTGGCTCTCTCTTTAGGTTAGGATATCTATCGAACAACGAACAATATATAAACCAAACGAATAAATTATTAACATAAACGTGAATTATTGTTAGCAGTGTGTGAAGGTGTGGCCCATGTTGAAGACTCCTTTAGGTAGTCGTCTTCACCAACAATGTATCAACAAATGTTATGCTTGAAATGAAAGGTACTTGACCTCTCTATCTACGTAACTTATCCTTCATATTACCAAACAATTAAGTATCGTCACACCTATCATATATATATCATTCTCGACCGACTTCGACAATGCTTAAAGATATATATACACACACGTCAAAATGTATTATCTACTCCTATTATTATTTTTGTCTTCCTCCAACCCAAATACTCACACGGCTAATTTTACTTATCTTAAAGAGGACGAACAAAAAAAAAAGCACATAACAGCTATCTTTTATTGCCTAATCATTGGCTTCTCAAAGATTATCTAGATACATTAAACATGTTATTTGGGTTTTAAATTTTTTATTTATAGAAAGTTAGTTTGTAAAAATGGATGTTAAACATGTACAACAATATTAATATATTTACATACATACATATCTTTAAGAACAAGAAAACAAAAAAAAAGAAGAAGTTAAAATGTTGTTTGTCCAAAGATACTAATCAACTCAAGAAAATAAAATCACATAGAGCCCAAAGATAAGGAAAAAAAGAGAGAGTGTGACACTTCACCTCACCATCTCTCCTCTCTCCTCTCTATCTTCTTCTTCCTCCTCCTCTTTATTTCTTCTCTATTAACAAAACACCATTGAAATTAAAAAAATGGGTTCAATGTCAAACCCTAACCCATGGTCACCATACGATTCATACAACGACTGCTCTCAAGGAATCTGCAACGTCTACTGTCCTCAATGGTGTTACCTCATCTTCCCTCCTCCTCCTCCTTTCTTCCTCGACGACGACTCTTCCTCCTCCTCCTCCAACACTTTCTCCCCTCTCCTCATCGCTCTCATCGGAATCCTCGTCTCCGCCTTCATCCTCGTCAGCTACTACACTCTCATCTCCAAATACTGCCATCGCCACCACCAAAACTCCTCCTCAGATACTACTCTTAACCTTAATAACAGTGACGGCGGTGCCTTCTCCTCCACGCAAAGACTCTCCAACACTACAACAACTGGAGATGGTCTCAACGAGTCTACGATCAAATCAATCACGGTTTACAGATACAAGAAAGGAGATGGTTTCGTGGATGGCTCTGATTGCTCTGTTTGTTTAAGCGAGTTCGAAGAGAACGAGAGCTTGAGACTGTTGCCTAAATGTAACCACGCGTTTCATCTCCCTTGTATCGATACTTGGTTGAAATCTCACCCTAACTGCCCTCTTTGCCGCGCTTTTGTCACCGCCACATCCGAAAACAACACCGTGGTGGATGATGATGCTGACTCAATACTCGTCGTAGCTAACCGATCGAGTTATGTTCACCAAACCGTAACGGAACCGGAAACCAATTCGAATGTAACCGGTTATCATCAACACGGAACCGGCGATTTCGATTCCGTTGTCGTAATCGAAGATCTGGAAATCGGATCTCGGAACAGTACTACCGACGGTAGATCGGAATTACAGCTGACGGAGGATAGACGAGAGAGTAAAGATGGAGATTTGCTAAGGATTCGGAGATCGGCGTCGCTGGACTCTGGTGTAGTGGTTTCGATCGCTGATGTGCTGCGAGAGATTGAGGACGAGGACGAAGACGAAAGAGAAACCGCCGGCGTCGGAACTTCGCGGCGGAGAGAGGAAAGGGGAGAAGGTGGCGACGGGAAGACGGCGGGGAGTGAAAGAAGCGGAGTTTCGAATTTTGTGGTAAGGAGTTTATCAACGGGGAGATTTGTTTTCTCAACCCGGTATGATCGATCTAGAAATTACCGTTTACCCAATTAAAATATTATAATACGTTAATTTGTTTTTTTACTGTATCTAGTATTTACTGATAATTTAATTATACACAGTTCTTCACTTATAGTAATCACTTTTTGAAGAATTGAGAAAAGGAGTTTAAATTAAAGTACGTAATTGGTTCCCTCCGGAATTTATGGAACAATTCACTACAAAAAAAAAAAAAACAATGGCGAAAATGGCGAAATTTGCTCGTGGTGGCGTGGCCGGTGACCATATATGTCGCGGCTATATTGAACAAAATGCTTTTACAGAAAGAAAAGGCAAAAAAAAAAAACATTGTGAAAATTGGATTTTAAGATCATCATTATTCATCAGAGAGAAGAATCTTTAGTACATTGGAAAACAAGTGAAGATTATAATTTTGTATATGCTTGCATCGATTTCCAAATGGACTACAAAACGATGAATTATACTGCATGGTCTAGGTCCTTTCCGACCCTACTTAAATAAAACCTAACCACACGTGAAAATACAACTTGAGAATTTTCTTATTCAAAATATCAGTGATTTTCGTGGATTACGAATTATGGTTTGAAAAAAGAAAATTCTCATTCACATGAAAATACAAGGTTTAAACGAAGAATATTTTGATGTCGTGCAGCTAGTGCCCTACTTCTCGATGTGGCTGAATTTGATTGCATATGAATCGTATGAGTGGTTTGGTTTTTATGAGCGTGTATCCTACGTACTTATATGACTTACTAGTCTTTGAATTGCGTTTGTTTGTATCATTGTGCTTTCTGACTTTGTCAAAGAACTGTTGCTATGCTGAAAGGGGGAGACACTACTGTCTAGACTATCTACGTACATGAAACATATAGTTATTAACCTTTATTCAAAAAAACAGAAAAGAAAGAAACAGATATAACCACAAAACGTGACTTGGCAAATCGTTAATGCACTAGCACACGATATGTTATTGTTTAACATAGATTAACAAAACTTAGATGCTCAAAACTAGATCATATATACTTGAGGTATAAATTTTATACATAACATGGTCCGAGTTATATGACCACATCGCATATTGAAAAGCAACTCTGAAACTCCCGTGAGTATTAAAAGCTTTCGAGCCATAAAAGAGAATGCGATAAAATTAATATCTAAAGATGTTAGAAACTCAAAAAAACATGTTTCTCGTCAACGACTGTTGAAGAAATGAAGCTTAGTTGACCTAGGTCTCAAGCTAGGAGTCCAAGAATATAATCTGAATTTGAAACATAAGAAAAATGATATGTTTACTTAGTTAGACAAAATTGTTTCATTATTAATTTATTAGTATATGATATAATCATATGCAGGACGTTAATTACTTACTTGTTTTATACCTGGTGGTTCCGGCCTTCCAAGTTTCATTTTGTAAAGGTTTTCATTTTTTCTAAAACAAAACTTTCACCGTCAGGCGTTATCAGTGTACGTAACTGATCATTCATTCATGTTTAGTAGAAGATAAATTACCTTACAAACTTAATTCTGAAATTATAACGTAAATGTTAATTAATTTTACGTGATTGATGGTCTCATCAACATTTTCAAAGGACACATGTTTTTGGATTCATATCAATGTGAACAAGGAAAAAGAATGGTTGTGGCTAGAAATGTGACATCAAAATGTACACAAGATCTGTTGTCACATCTCACATACCCAAAAAAAATCTTTATTAGATAATATTTGTTTTTAAAAGGTGGAGGTCATGTATTCTAGAAATCGTGAACGTTCGTCGCTTCTTGGTCGATAGCACGATAAATAATACTAGTCTTATTTTATATTTTACGTGGTCGTATGGTTTGTTATTTACCAGTACTATGGAAAAACAAAATCATGAAATATGACTCGAAAGATAGTTAATCAAACCGTAATTATCTACTAAGAACATAAAAATCCAATTTGAACCATAATTTCTCGAATAAAAAATTGTTAATAATTTCACCATTAAAATATGTTCTACATTTTTCCTATTTTCACTCTTTTAGAGCATAAAAAAAAGAAGTCTCGAAACAACCTCAACAACGACTCCACTAATAAAAACTCTTCGCAGTAATATTAACTTAGCGACCAAAAGGGGTAAACAAAGAGAGAGAGAGAGAGTTGATTAAATAAAACCGAGTCCGCATTTTAAGCGCTCTTTTCAGTTTTCTGTTACACCTAACTTTTTTTGTTTTGTTCACACAAATTTTCCCCTCCGAGGAAAAAAGAAAAAAAGAGAGAAAGAAAGAAAGCAAAATTCGAACACATACATTCTCAATTGTGTTTCACATTGGTCGGAAATCGAATGGATCAGAGAAAAGGTGATCCAAGAATATACATTGTCACTCTTCTGTTTCTTTCATGTATCTTATCAGGAGGAGTCCTTTTGGGACTCTACTTGGTCCTCTCTGATCCCAACCCTTTGTTTCTACAAGCTGGTATGATCTTCGTTGGTGTCCCTTGGCTCTTTTGGTTCTTGGCTTACGTTTACTCTTGCGTCCTCAAGCCTTGCACGCTCTCCGTTAGCAAGAGCGTTGCCAATTTCGATCCGGAGAAAGGCGATCATGAGAAGAACGTCAATAACAACAACAAGGTCCCGGAGAACGTCACGGCAGCGTCGGATTCGGATCCAGCGCCGAGGAATTCGCCTAGGGAAGGTGAGAAGCACGTGCAATTCGGGAATGTGGTGGTTCTTGGTGATAAAGAAGGAGGAGGAGGAGGAAAAGAAGAAGAGGGTAGTTCTAATAATCTGATTCAAAATCGAATCAAAGAAGAAGAAGATCAAGAACATCGTAGATCGCATTCAAGAAGCGATGATGATGCTGAGAGTAGCATTGATGAGGATTGCGATAGGACTCCATTGAGATTATCTGTCGGAAACAACTGAGCATGATACTGTATGATCAATGTTTAGCGCGCAGTTCAAGACCTGATCATTTTTATCTGGTTGTGTAATCAGATTGAACAGAGAGAGAGAGGCTTTGAAGAAAGCTAACCCTCGTTGACGTGTGAAACAAGGGATGTTGTTCTTTGAGTAAGAAGAACTAAATACCATGTGAAAAGACCCATAGAAGAAGTTGTTTTGTTGTAGCTTTACTTTTTTTTTTGTTACTCTTATGGTTTTTGATGAATTCAAATAATAACCAGTAACCAAAGAAAAGAAAAACATAACCTGAAAAAAAAACATGTTCTCCAATGTCAGAAACAGAGCAAAAACAAGAACATAGTGTCTTTTGTTTAGTTTATTTATTGTGATGATGCTTTTTCTTCTTCTTCTTGAAATCACAGGTGCAAGCATCAACTGAAGAAGAAGATGAGGTCAAGCAACCAAATTTCCTCTTCACTTGTGTCCACACACTTATCTTATTCTTCTTCTTCTTCGTCTTCTTCCAACGATGAACAACACATTCATGATTCTCAATCTCAAGCCCTAACAGCTTACTACTCATCTTCTCCATCTCATCTTCATCGCTGGACACCCCAATCTCTTCTTCTTCGTCTTCATCTACTTTCTCTCCTATAACCTTGATCTCTTTAGCCACTGTATCACGTATCTGAAGCTGAGAAACATACAAAACATGAACAACGATTCTGAGAGGAAGCCTCTGGTTTTTCGCGGCTTGCTCGCATCCTTCTTGAGAGAGTTTATTACAATCAAGAACTTTACAAACTTCCATTTTCTCTGATTCAGTCAAGTATCTATGACTCTCCAGGAAAGCATCAATGGCTTTGTAAATTCCATCAGAGTATGTCAAGATGCCTTGCGAAATAGTCACTGTTATCTCCGCTAATTCCACAAACCCCTCGAGCTTCAGAGAAGTCTCACTCGCGGCCAAGAACAGAAACTCTTCCAACAGTTTCGCTACTTTCTCGAAATGTGAAACATCTTCAGAGTCTTCATTGGCATAGTAACTGTAAAAGCTCATGACAACTGTTTTAACGAGCTCGATATCTTCGAAACTCTCAGCTTTTTCTCTGTATCCTTGAGATAGAATCTTGAGATCTGTTGATTTAGCCATGTCAAGCTGTTTGCTGATTCTGATCCCAAATCCGTTTCGACATTCGGAGCTAGCTTCTAACCAGATAGAATGTTTTAGCGATTCAAATAAGAATTCGCAAGAGATTAGCCCTCTCGGATGTGGCAAAAGTCGTTCAACTGCTTCAACTACTTCTCTCCTTTGCCCTAATTGGCTTTCTTCCGCATCGAAAACCCATTTCTTCGCGTATTTGCAGACCGATAAAACAATGTATTCCACAGGAATGCTGCGCGATTTAATTGCTCGGATCATCAAAGGTTCATATAACCGAAGCGGAATTGTGATCAAATCTTCCGATTTCCAATCTTTAACAAACAACCGTCTCCTAGGGTTAGGTCTATAATCATCACTTTCCTCTTCTCTGTTCTTGACCAGTTCACCAAGAAGTCTTGGATCGTATGAAGCTTTTTCGATAAGAGAATCAAAGAAGAGATCGACAAGTCCAACATCAGCTAGCTTGTCAAGACTCTTGTCCCCTGAACGAAGAGCATTTACTGTCTCATTCCAGCATGGGAAAACTCGTTGCTCTAAGAACTCAGATGCCTTTCTCAACAAGTTATCAGAGCTTTGTTCTTCATTCATCCCTAAGTAATACGCTATGCAGAGAACAGAGACAATGTTATCAGACGAAAACCTGACTTCAAGACCATAACAGAATCTAGCAACAAGCTCAAAGGCTTCTGTTTCCACTTCTAAATCTCGTAGGATCAGACGCAGCTCATCCATCTCGTTTCTCTCTAGTAACAAGCTCACTTTAGACGATCTCTTTGCTATCATTTCCTGCAAAAACAATTAAAAAAAAAAACTCAGACAAAATCAGGAAAACAAACATCTCTGTTCATTTTTTCTGCGATGAATGTTATGAAGAATCGAATCAAACTTACTTTGTGAAGATGAAATGGAACACCCTTTATGTTGATATGAAGATCGGGTTCAGATGATACTGATATTAAATTTCTTCAAGCAATGAATGTATGTAGTTAGAGAATCATCTGTTAAACCGAAATGATAATCAAAATATAGAAGAGATTAAGAAAATCTTACTGGTTCTCGTTGTTATTGTTGTTCCTATTTGAATCTGACATTTTTGGTAGCAGTTCTTCGATTTCTCTATAGGACAATAGATTTATGAGTTGGTCTGTAATTTGACCTCCTAGAAACAGAGTACTTAGTTTCTCAGGTGCTCTGTAACAATGGAAACAAAAACAGAGAACCGAAGGCAACAACAACAACAAATTTCAGAAAAAAATCTACCCTAACATTTTGAATGTGAAAGAATACTAAAAGCTTATCAAGAAAATTATGGCTCTTCCCAAAATATAGGAGCAAGTTAAGATATTCTCCGGGGAAAATGTACTAGTTAGTTTATGTATTACAGGGAAATTAAGAATTCCTTTTCTTAATATTATACGCAAAAGAGTCTAATCACATCATCTAAATGATTTTAAATTTTTTAATCACACAAAGCCATTATCTTTCACTTCACTTCTATGAATGATTCTCGTAATAGTCAGACAATATGAATCCATATATGGTTATACTTACAAGAATTATATCATTTTCCAAATCACACAAAATCAAATATTTTAATAACCTTTGTATAAAGAGAAGCGAGACTACCAAAAGCACTGGTACAATAAGTCCAAATTCAAAGCCTCGTAGCAGAGTGATGAGAAACACTACAATATTAAGAACTCATGATACATGTGTTGTTGACTGGTTTTGACTGTGACCAGAGACATCAGCAGCACCTAAAGCCACAAAATTCATACTATGGTTCATTAATGAATTGACTCAGGACCCAATAAAGATGTGAATAGACCATCTAGAAGATATCATTTACCTCACTCATGAAGCATCTTGGAACCTGGATAAGAGAATAGTCGAACAGCATTCCGAAAGCTTAGCTCTGCGAGTTCCTCCTTCTTCATGTCCAACAACCTTGCTACATACTCGAGTACCTGACACGTAATTAATCAGGGTCTAAATTTTCAATGGTTTTATGAAACAGAAGACCGGCTGAGAATCTACAAAGCAACAACATACGATATGAATATTAGCCGGGTGATTAAGTGTTTCCTTCGGCAACTTCATTGAGTCACTAGATGCATTAGACTTATCATTTGAAACTGGCTCAAGGTCCTGAGCTGAATTTCCTTCTTCGGGTAGTGAAGGATCTCCTTCTACAAAGTGGAGACAACCTGGCTCTGCCTTTGGTAGTGCATCTGGTGAATCAGTTTCCAGTAAGATCCTATCAGATGGAACCTACCAAGAACTGAAATCAAGATTCTATTCCACCTAAAGTTCTGATTTGGTGTAGATAACTATGGAAATCCTACCGCTTTCAACATTTTCTTGGCTTTCTTCTCACTCATGGACATAAGAAAACCAGAAAAGGAGAAATATGCACCGAGCTTAGCAAACTCAGGAACCATCTCAGCAGAACCTAAATAAGAGTGAAGGATGACCCCAGAAGGAAAAGGTCCCACAGATCTGCGTATAACGGAATCACATCACACTTCATAAGAACACATCATATAGAGACATTGTCATAATTTTAGGAACACTCAAGAACATAAAGCTAACAAATTTCACTTTTGTTTAATACAGCCTACAGGAAGCAAAAGATCATACTTTATTATCTCGAGCAGGTCCCCGAATGCACGGACACAGTGAACTGATGCGGGTTTATTCAATTCCTTTGCAAGTTCGAGCTGTTGACGAAACACGGTAACCTGAGAAATTAAAAATGCTGTCTTTAGCATCAAATGCCATCACTAAAACACAAACAATTAATAGCAAGCACAAGATCAGGTGTATAATTGTGAAACCTGGTCTGAGAAATCAATCTCCTTTCCCTTAGACCCTTTGTCCAAACCAATCTGTCCAAAAAACAAAGCAGTTTCAACCAACAATTATCATGGAGGGTCAATCAAATCAAAGTGATTAAAGGAGACAAGAGATGACTTCTCCAACAGCAGCTGTAGGAGTTGTCTCAAACAAACTCTTCAATGTCTCAAACCATTGAGGAGTCCTCTCTGCTACATACCTGAGCTCAACCACAAACACACCAAAAGATCCTAAGTTTGAAGCTTTACAAGTAATTTGTAGCTACCTATATTATCAATTCGTACCATGGATGGATCCCAAAGCAGGGAACAACAGAAGGGTATTGAACCCCCATCTCTTTGACCAAATTCCAATCTTTCTAGACCAAATCAAACGAAATCCATTTTTAATTAAATATTTTGCTAAGCTCGTACAATTCGAAAGCTATCAATCAGACAAAATTCAAAACCTCGGAGACTCCATTGACGGAAAAGGCAGAGACGCCGGAAGCTAAGGCGGAAGAGATGAGCTGAGGAGCTTTGGTGATAATCCTCGGGTCTTGAAGGTGACAGTGCGCGTCGAACAGTTTCATCTTCTCCCAACCGCTTCGTTATGTATGTGTGTGTTTCTTCTAAGTTCTTCCAAATACTCTTAGCTGACAAAGAATTTAGTATTAATTATTCAATCACCCCAGAACTATATTTATTTCACGGAAATACCCATAAGAACTTTTCTTTTTTCCTGTCAACACTAGAACACTATTATGTGTCCATGGTCTAATACTATAATCTGAATTTAAAGCAATGCAGGGTGTTCAATTTAAATACCATTAAAATTTAAAAGTAATGCACGGTGTTCAATTTAAATTAATTTAATTGGACTGATTTAAATCAAATTAACTTAAAAATGTTTGATCTGCAAAAAAAAAAGTGAAGTTTTAGAAAATATGATACAAATGAGATGAATTACTTGAAAGTATATTTTTGTTGTAACAATAACAATTCCAAAGTTAGAAAAACAAAAAAAAATCAATGCTTTTTAAGGATTCAACTCTTTACACGTTTTGGATACATTCTGAATCCGCGGATTTCGATGAATTTATCAGGAAGAAGATTCTAAACGGTCCATAGATTTTGGAATTAATCTATGGTCAAAGAAAGGACTCACAAAAAGAAATATCAATCATTGACATAACTTTATTCTGGTGTTCTATTGATTCAGACAGTAAACGACAACAATCACATAACTGACAAATCGATTCGATTATAACAAATTTTATATATTAATCTTTGTATTTAAAACCTCGAATCTATAAAACTATGTACCAATAAAAATACAAATTATCGTCCAAATATTCTAATAATAATAATATATCAGATTTTCAAATAAAATGTAAGCTTACGATTAAAATGTATGGAAAATAATTATTAAGAAATCTATTAAAAACAGGCTAACTTTCATAAATTGACCATTTTGATTATAAAAAAATAGGGTGATGACTTTGAGTTTTATGGTTTAGAGCTTAGAGTTTAAGAATTAATTATCTTAGAACATTACTCTAACATGAGCGAAGTTCTGCTTACGTCCATTACTCCATTACTTATTATTTACTTTAAAAATTAATTGGAGTACTTTTGGACTCAATCAAAATTTAATAATACCTTTATTTTGGCAATGCAAAATTTTACCCACTAGTTTTTTTTAGTAATAATTGATCTAAATTATCATTTTCACTAAATTATATTATAAAATAAATCACAGCATAGATAAATAAAAGACATAAGACACACAAAAGTGTAGTTAATTGAATGCATTTCAAAATTTTAACTATTTAAATAATTAGTTTTTTAATGTTCATAAAAAATAGTTTAAACTGATGGATTATTAATGTGTTTATAAATGAAAACATCTCATATTTAAAAACTTATTTTGTGTATCAAAAACATTAACTCTCAATAGAGTGAGATTTTAGAGTAATACTATTCATCATTACTCTTTTTGGAGTTGAAAATGATGATGGTTTTACTCCAAAATGGAGTTTGCAGTGGAGTTGAGATGCACTTACATGCCAGAAACCAAAACCAACATATCCGTACTAGATTGATTATTCGATTCAGAGAATGTAGTTATACCAATTAAGTAGTTTTGTCTTCGAAAATCAAAAATCTTGTAACTTAACTTTAAACCAAGATTCCTTTTGCAATGAGTATTAAAAAAAAGGTTCGATTCGAGGATGAAAAAGCAAAGTAACTCAAGTCACTCTCGTTAGTTAGAGTTGCTTTTTTACTTACACAAACACTTGTAACCCCAAAAAAAGCTCCGCCTAAAGTAACCCAAACGTTACAAAACCAAATTTTTTATTTTTAAAAAAATTCACAAAAATATTGTAATCGTTTCTATATATATACACTAGCGAGAGACAACTATTCTCTCCACAAGAGCTCTCTCTTTCTAGCAATGTCTCTCTTACAAGTATTACTAACGTTACTTCTTTTTTTTCTCCTTCTTCAGGCAAACACTGCCGGAGCAACACTCCGGTTCTTGAGCTGTTATTATAGTAAGGAAAACAGTACCACCAGGCCTAAACCCCTCCCGTGTCGTAGTCGTAGAGTGTATCTGGTTCCACCTTCAGGCCCATCGAGAAGACAGAACTTGGACGCTCTAACCGATCTTGCCGAAGAAACTAAGGTGAAACATTGCTGTGTGGTTTAGAATATTCATGTAGTGTTTTCCTCTACACGAATATTTGTATCTATACATCTATGTTCGTGGTGTAAAATGAAGGCATGAACTTACGTTGTGTTTACACACTGTTCATTCTTTCATTTCCCTTTTCACTTCAAGACCTTGTAAGCTACCAATCTTTTTGTACAAAAAAAACATGTACATGTGATGGGTTGTGTTATATACACTATGTTTCCCAAACATAATTTCTACTTGTAATAATTGGAGTTAAATCAACTTAACTATATTACCCTAAAGATATAATTCTGTTTTATTAAACAATATTTTCCTCAGCTAGCTAGTCTTATGATGTTAATAAACGACACACACAAAAAAAAAAAAAAAAATGTTTGTCCACGCAGAATTTGAGAAATGATCGAAGGTTACAACTTAAAACGATTATTATGTGATAATGGCTATAAGCAAATATGTTTGCAAAACACTTCACCTAGTAGTAGTAGATGGAAAATAAGATTCGATGTACAATTACCAAATCAAAGTATATTTGTAATATAACTCCAAACATATTTTAGTTTAATCAAAATAATTATTACCTAATACTTTTTTATATATACTTTAAATAAAAATAAGAAGAGTTTTTGAAGAGAATCGCCACCACCACATATAAAATGAACGCTATTTTTATTATTATTATTACTTTTATGCGATTTAAAACATCAAACACACGTAACAGCAATCGCATAACATGTTTTAGCGGTTGCAAGACAACTAATTAAAGTACTAATCAAAAAATAATTGAAAATAATTATAAAAAAAATTAATATATAATTAAAAATCCATAAACAAATTTTCATGCATAGATACATTTTTACAATTATATTTTTGGTTTGGTTGATAATATTTATCGACTGTAAAAATTGAGATATACAAATCAAAGACAATAAGGTACGGTTTCGTTCAAGAGAATCTAGTCCACCAACACAAACGCTAATTTTATTTTTTATCTTCTTAGAGGAATTTAAAACATCAAATACGTGTAACGACAACATCTCCAATGCATAACATGTGTGTTGCCAGTCAAGAGAACCTTTCAAGTAGTTAGTTACGAGAAAGACAAAAGAGAAAAGAACCAAAAATGCATTCCGAATTTAATCAATTATTGTGTTTTTTTGATATAACAAACAGCCTTTGTCCGCTGCTAATCAAATAATAGGTACCAAAGGCATCATTAAGTGTGGAAAGTTTCAAACTTCTGAAGGAGTCTTGGTTGTCATTTGATCAACGGCATGAACTACGTTCTGAAGCTCTTCCCAAATGGCTTTGTAGACCATCCTTTGTCTGTTCACCGCAGATTGTCCCTCAAATGCTGATGACACCACATTGATGCTACCAAAACAGACATTAAGCATTCTGGTGTTAAGTAATATTAGAAGCAATCTAATATGGACAAGTTTAAGTAAGATTCGTTCGTTGTACACAATGATCTATTCTGCTCCTGCTGATACAAGAATTCAGCTTATATCAAGAGCAGATACTTGACTGGTTCTGGATTAAGTACTAACTTATAAACCCCAACTTTGATGAATGCTACAGGTTAAAAGTTTTAGTGATCAAAATGAAGGAAACGATAACTCAAAATGTGAAACTTATCTACATATCTCACAAACACCAACAACAACAAGCACTACCGACCTACCCCTAACACGACTTCAGCTACGTGTAACAACGTTTCATCAAAATTCGGAAGATAAATTCAGATTCCCTTACCAGACATGACGTCCATCTCCAGACATATCCGTTACAGTAACGGACTCAGCATTCAATTGTTCTTTAATCTGCGCACAGCAAAGCAAAAACCTCGTATGTTAAGACATGTGTTGACATACCTAATCTTATGAGTGGCAGTCACATGATTCCTCATCAATGATCTTAGCTGAGTGATACATTTTATCATTTCCAGCTACTACTGAGAGTAACAGTGTGCATATATCCAACCAATTCATTCAAATTTCACTAATCTAACTTATAAAGAAGATTAATTGATACGGAAACATTCAACAATGAGATAACAAAAAAATCGAACCTTTAGCTCCATGGATTGCATAAGTGTAAGATCAATAGAACCAGCATCGTTGATTTGAGAGGATCTGGTACTGAAATCACGGCTTCGAATGCCCACAACGCCAAACCCAGAAACCCTAGATACTCCATTAATGTAGTAAATCGAAGACGGCGCAGTCTTCTCTCCACGGGACAAAACGGCGCTTAAGCACCTCGAGTTGAAGCTTCTCACGAGAGGTGCCGAGAATGAAGTGAAGGGTCTCTTTGGAGATCGAAACAGGAGATGAAGGCTGGCTCTCGTGGAAGAGAGAAGAACGTACGGTCGAGTTGTCGCCATCAAGGTGTTCGCCATTGCTCAGACTTGGTCACTCCAGAGACTCTCGTTTCGGGGAAAAAATCGTCTTGTTAATGATAATGGGCTTCGATATCATAAACTTTTGGGCCTTTCCGCGAAAAAATAAATGGAAGGTTATTTTGGTCATTTTAATATTTTAATGTGAGCCGTAGGATCGAATCCTTTAACTTGATCGTAATTAATCGACGATCGATGTATCGGAATGATCAATTGAAAACATCACCGCCCTTCTCTAATTCTCTCTTCCGCTTTCGTCCAGAGTTGAGAGAGGAAGCGAGAGAGAGGGACTCGAGGAAATGGCCAACGAGACTCACACCGATGACTTAGACGAGCTTCTCGATAGTAAGATACTCCTACTACAACTAGCATGTTCCACCAATTCTATGTATAATACGGTTTGATTGGTTGAAAACGTTTGTTTTCTGATTTTGCTTTGTGGATTCGTTTCTATAATTGAGAATTCTGGGATTTTTGTTTTTTTGTTTGTTCTCAGGCGCCTTGGATGATTTCAAGGATCTCAATCTTACTCCAAGGTTACTCTTATTTCCTTACTATCACTCTATCTAATTGTATCTATGGCATATGGTTAGCTACTTAGTTCTAAATTTGAAAACAATATTGTGGTGGCTAGCATGAAACATCAATACTGAAGTAGTAGAGGTAGTGGGGATTTTGTTATTCTTTTTTTGGGAATTGAGGGTCTTGATTAGATTTGGATTTTTGTAGAACTGGAGGGGTAGTAAAACAAGATGGTGATAAAAAAGAGACAGAGTCATTGCCGAGTGGTGTTCAAGGTCTTGGGATGGGGTTACCAGATATGAGGAGCAAGAAGAAAGGAAAGCAGAAGATTGCAAAAGAGGACCATGTTGCTGAGGCTCTTGATAAACTCAGGGAACAAACCAGAGAAACTGTGAAGGGACTCGAGTCTTTGTCGCCGAAGCAGCACCCGACAGGTTCTGATGATGCTATGGTCGAAGATTGGATCAAGCAATTCGAGGATCTTGCTGGGTCTAACGTAAGAATGCACATACTGAGTTTTTTACTTGTTGGATTCCATATCTTGCTATACTTATCTAGTTTAAGTCTCTCTTCAAATTATAGGTGATATTCTCTCATGGAATAAAGATAAGTTTGACCTCTACTAATGAAGTCTGTGGTGGATTGGTTGTCTTAGTGTAAATCCGTTGTGTTTCAAGGTTTATTAGGTTCCTGCTTTTGTTCATTTTTCTTCGTTTCAGCTTTTAAGGTTTGGTCCTGCTTGCCATTACTGATGTCAGTTTGATTTGATCGTTATTATTCTTCATAGTGGTTATTGTTTGTTAAAACTGTTTCTCCATCTTATCTGAAGTTTCTTATTATCCATCTTATTGTTGATACTAGTGTATCTTTTGGACCTGTGATGCCTTTTGATTTTTTGGGATGCTTCTAATTATCATTCCAAACCATTGACATCTTTTTTGCTACAGTTTCATCTAGTTGAGGTTGTTGCAAAGTAGCATTAAAGGCTGTCGTTATAGGAGGGGTTGTGATACTGATATCCAAAAACCGCACTTGTTTGCAGAACCATTTGACAGAAGTTGTGTTTTTATGGTTTATTATTTTTGGTTTGATAATCCACTTGTTTGGTTTTAGGACTTGGAATCAATAGTGGACACGATGATGCAACAACTATTATCTAAGGATATTCTTCACGAACCAATGAAAGAGATAGGCGCAAGATACCCGAAATGGCTAGAAGAGCATGAAACCAGTCTAGACAAGGAAGAATTCGAACGTTATTCGCGTCAATATGAGTTAATTAAAGAACTCAATTTGGTGTATGAGAACGAACCAAACAATTCAACCAAGATCATGGAGATAATGCAGAAGATGCAAGAGTGTGGACAACCACCAAGTGATATAGTGCAAGAGATGGATCCTGGCTTTGATTTCGCTAGTCTAGGCCAAATGTAAGTCTTCTTCCTCATTGAAACATATGTGATCGCTAAAGACCAATAGGACTGAGTTTTCTATATATATGTTCACAGGTCTCCGGATATGCTCGAGTCTTCACCAAATTGTTGTGTAATGTGAGGGAAGAAACAAGTCGTAGAACTATTTGGCTTTGTCCAGCCATTGGAGACCATGTTTTTTTTTTTTTTTTTTTTTCTCATGCATGTTTTTATTTTCTTACTTAATAGTTAATACTACACTTATTCTCTATTTGGTTCTGTAACCTTGTATGCGTAAAAGTTTTAATCCGCTCATCCAGTTCATTTCGCGTGTTCAATAAATCATAAAGAAGAGTCAACAAAGAGGCATCATATAGAGCAAATAAAGTGTATGGTTATATGCTTCTTACTAGTTATGATCATACTGAGAGTACGAGTGGACATTGGTGGTCCAAAACCAATAATTATGTGTAATCTTTGTCCTAGACTCTTGGTGGGGTTCTAACCATGGGAACTAATTAGTGTTAGTGAAATAGATGTGTCCGGACCTGCTTACATAATAAACCTGTTTTAAGATACAGTTCAATTCATCAAAGCTTTTTCAAAATCTTTCCAAGGAAAAAACAATAGTTAGGATTAATAAAGGCATCGTTTTGATGAAAAATATACTAACCATCAAAGCTTTCCGATTCATACTTAGTAAAGAGAAAATAATACGAATAATGATGAGTAGAAAATCATGTCCTTATCAAACCGAAGCAAGATTATACTATAATTTACTTCAAATTTCCATGTCTAGTAAATTGAACACTTTGAAAAGCTAGCTACTCTTAACACAAAAAATGGGTTGTAACATCCTCATAAGTCATAATCTCGTATATTAATTTCGACTTCTCGAAATCAAAGCTAGGGCCTATGGGACATGACAGGTACTATTCCCGTGGTTGAATTTAGTTTGTAAATTGTAACCATAAAATAATACTACATCACCAACGAAGCTGCAAATCCCTTCACCCGCAATGTCCGGATCATTGACGTTTAAGGTTCACCGGCAGAAGCCTGAGTTAATTTCCCCAGCGAAACCAACACCGAGAGAAATAAAACTTCTCTCTGACATCGACGAACAAGAAGGACTAAGATTTCACATTCCTACTATCTTCTTCTATAGACATAGCACTAAAGCTTCTGATCCAGTCGCAGGGATTCGGAGAGCCCTCGCGGAGACGCTGGTTTACTACTACCCGTTCGCAGGTAGGCTTCGGGAAGGACCGAACCGGAAACTCTCCGTGGACTGCACCGGTGAGGGCGTTTTGTTCATCGAGGCAGTTGCTAACGTGACGCTTGTGGAGTTTGAAGAGAAGGATGCTCTTAAGCCTCCTTTCCCTTGCTTCGAAGAGCTTCTGTTTGACGTTGAAGGTTCTACTGAAGTGCTTAACACTCCTTTGATGCTCATGCAGGTCAGTTTCACTAAGTTAGTAAGTATGCGATCCATTATAGATTTGATACACAAATAAAAATATAAATAGAGTTTGGTTTACGTGTCTTCGAATGAACACTATTGGGTTAAAAGGTTTTTTTTCCCTATGTTTTGTATAACAAAACAAAAATTAAATATTTTTCAAACAACTTTCTTCTTAAAAATTAGATTAATAAAGGAAAGGAGGAGTAGTATGTTAATATAATTTTGGTAGGAACATTAATGTTCAGCCCGATCATATAATTTCGTGTAGGTCACGCGCTTGAAGTGTGGGGGTTTTATCTTTGCCACCCGTATCAACCACGCAATGTCCGACGCCGCCGGTCTCTCGCTCTTCCTCAAAACGATGTGCGACTTTGCGCAAGGTTATCAGGCACCTACGGTTGCTCCGGTGTGGCAACGTCACCATCTGAGCGCAAGGATCCCGTTTCTTGTGTCACACGTACACCGCGAGTATGACGAAATGCCGGTTATTAGTATGGAAAACGACGGTAAGGGAGAGAATATGGTTGGCCGGTCATTCTTCTTCGGCCACAGGGAGATGTCCGCAATACGGAGGCTCCTCCCACTGAATCTTGCTAATAGCAGTACCGATATGGAAACGCTAACGTCATTCCTATGGCGAGATCGCACCATTGCTATACGACCTAATCCGAACAAGGAGATGCGACTTATATTGATCGTAAACGCGCGTAATAAGCTTAAAACCGCACCGCTGTCTCCAGGATACTACGGAAACGCGTTTGCCTTCCCGGTTGCGATTGCGAGAGCTAGAGAACTAACTGAGAAACCGTTAGAGTTTGCTCTGAGACTAGCAAAAGAGGCGAAATCTAGTGTGACTGAAGGGTACATGCGATCACTTGTTAATCTGATGGTGACAAAAGGAAGACCAAGCTTCTCGTCGGATGGAGCCTACTTGGTGTCGGATGTGAGAATTTTTGCAGACATCGGTTTTGGAATTTGGGGGAAACCGGTTTACGGTGGAATAGGGACGGCCGGAGTAGCAGATTTTCCAGGGGCTAGCTGCTGTGTTTCAGCTGAGAAGATAAATGGCGAGAAAGGGATCATCGTACCAGTTTGTTTGCCAGAGAAGGCGATGCAAAGGTTTGTGAAAGAGCTCGAGGCCGTGTTTAGCAGTCAATTTTCATCCAATGGAGGAAAAGCCCCGTAAATGATTATATATATAAACAAGACTCTAATGGATGTTCGTCTTTGGATCAGAAATTAACAACAACACCAGGTTGTTACTAGACAATGTGTAATGTGAGGGAAGAAACAAGTTTGTTTAAGAACTTCCTTGTTCTAGCCATTGGACACTACTGTATGTTTATTTTTTCCTCTATCTTGTGGATTGTATATGCAAAACTTATTTTAGTTCTTTTTTTTCTTTTCTTACTTGAATACTACGGTAGTACGGTTATTCCCTATTTGTTTTGGTTCAGGTTCTTATGATTTATTCAGATTGGAAATATCTAACTTTACTGCCATATTATTTGGTAACAGGTAACTTCACATGTGATCTACAAAAACGGAATCAAATTGGAACCAAACCAAACCAAAATATACAAATGATTTTTCGTCTTTTGACCATGAAACAACAACAAACACCAGGTTGTTACTAGAAAATGTAGAGAACTCAAGTACCTACATTCGAAGGATATTCTTCACGAATCAGTGAAAGAGATAGGCGCAAGAAGAACATGAAACCAATTCTAAGCAAGAAAGAATGCTAGCGTTATTAGCGCCAGTATGAGTTAATTAAAGAACTAAATTTGGTGTATGAGAAGGAACCAAACAATTCGACCAAGATCATGGAGATAATGCAGAAGATGCAAGAGTGTGGACAACCACCAAGTGATATAGTGCAAGAGATGGATCCTGTCTTTGATTTCGCTAGTCTAGGCCAAATGTAAGTCTTCTTCCTCACTGGAACAGCTGTGGTCTCTAAAGACCAATGGGATTAATTATGTTCATAGGTCTCCGGCTATGCTCGAGTACTCTTCACCAAGTTTTTGTGTAATGTGAGGGAAGAATAAAATTTCAGAACTATCTGTGATCTGTCCTTGTCCAGCCATTGGAGACCTTTTTTCCTTTCTTGTGCATTGTACAATGCAAAGCTTATTTTAGTTTTCTTTTTCTTTCTTGAAAACTATAGTTATCTCTATCTGGTTCTCTGTTCAGGTTATTTTTGTTTATTCAGTTTGGGAATAACTAATTTGAATCTCTAAATCATAATTATACGGGAATATATATATAGTATGAAAGTTACATATCATAATTATATCGTCCTACCCAACCTCGAGGTTTTTTTCTTTTTGTATATAAAATTTATAAATAAGAGGAATTTCATTTAACTTTTTTAATGAGTAATGTCTGAACTTTGTTCGTCTCATACGTAATCCACTTTTCCGTCCAATTCATTTTGCGTGTTCAATAAAGGAAGAGTCGTACGTGGGGTTTGTAAACCGTCTAATTCATAGAGGATAGAGCCACAGAGGCATCATATAACTTGTATGGTCTTATGCTTCTTACTAGTTATAATCATAGTACGAGTACGAGTGGACATTGGTGGTCTCGAAAGCCAATAATTCTGTGTAATCCTTGTGTACCAGAAATGCTATATTTCAAACCTTACGTAAAACGATAAAACTAGTCCTGGTTTCAGAACAAATGTTCAATATTAACATGATGTGAACTCTTTACCGAAAGAATCATATAGAGAATATACACATGTTTTTTGTGAAATTTCGACTTAACAAAACCAAAGCTGGTGTCCAAGGCTGACTATTCCCGTGGATGAACAGAGCCTTTGGCACTGTTAAATTTGTTTTGACTCTCGGAAGATAAAATTCAAACGCCACCACAAGAAAAGTACTGCAGGGAATAATTTAATCTACACGTATACAAGGTAATTTCAAACATCCTAAATTTGTTTAATGATACGAGAAGAAAGTTGAATAATGATCTCAAATCTTTTAGTCTAATTAAAGATAGTGGAGGAAGTAAGCAAATGTGTGCAGTAATTAATTACTTATATTTATACATGAATCTGATTAAGGGTAATCAAAGAATTGTAAACGAATGTGTGCTGCAGTAATTATTTTTTTAATGCATGTGTGTATCTGAAAACAAAAATGCTGACATGTCAGGTCAAAGTGACACTTCCCTCACTCTTTATATATTGAGAGATCAAGATAAGTTTGAAACCATAAATATTAATTTCGATATCACCAATGGAGCTGCAAATCCCTTCACCCGCAATGTCCGGATCATTGACGTTTAAGGTTCGCCGACAGAAGCCTGAGTTAGTTTCTCCGGCAAAACCAACACCAAGAGGGTTCAAACTCCTCTCTGACATCGACGACCAAGAAGGACTAAGATTTCACATTCCTACTATCTTCTTCTATAGACATAATCCTAAAACTTACTCCGATCCAGTCGCAGTGATTCGGAGAGCCCTTGCGGAGACGCTGGTTTACTACTACCCGTTCGCTGGCAGGCTTCGGGAAGGACCAAACCGGAAACTCGCCGTGGACTGCACCGGTGAAGGCGTTTTGTTTATCGAGGCAGATGCTGATGTAACGCTTGTAGAGTTTGAAGAGAAGGATGCTCTTAAGCCTCCTTTCCCTTGCTTCGAAGAGCTTCTGTTTGACGTTGAAGGTTCTAGTGAAGTGCTTAACGCTCCTTTGATGCTCATGCAGGTCAGTTTCACTAAGTACTTTTTTTTTTGGTAATAGGTCAGTTTCACTGATTAGTATCTTGTATTATAATTTATTCATCACCAAAAAAAAATCTATTATAATTTATAGATACACAAATATATATAAATTTTGGTTAACTATTTAGTATTTAACTATTATGTATTCCAAAATTAGTATTTTTTTTTTTTTT